TACATTTCAGTCTAAATCACACTATTAATTTTTCGCATTTTATTTAAATTACCCGGACTAAATGGACTGGGTCCGTTACTCTAGGTTTTCAAAGATTCCCTATCTTTTGAATCATATAAAGTTATTTATTAATTACTCATTATTCAAATTTAATTTTTGTTTATCCTTATTTATCGCCATTTATTTTTATTATTTTCCTTATCATTTTATTTCTTCATCTCATTAAGGATGCTAACAAATAAGGAATTAATTTAAAGAACATTACACTAACCATAGTTATACTATTATTTCATGAACGATATTTTGATTACATATAAGCTAACCTTAGCATACAAAAACCAGTTTAATACCACATACTACAAAAGTGACTTATTCATTTACTTACATTGAATCACTTGTTTCTTACTTATTTGTTCATAGTTTTAAGGATAGCATAAACTAAACTAGCTAGTCTTAGTACATGGATTATGACACCTAGTACTAGAAAGAAAACAACATGCGGTAGATCGATTTGGAATCCAAAACCCCATCTAATGTATATATGGAGTGTACATCCCTCGATAATCAATTCAGCGGAGAAGTATGCCATGATTACTTGCGATATCTACACCATAAGAAATACTAAGTGAACTACAACTCAATAAGTTAATCTTTACATGCTCGCATGTAAATGAAATGCATGTGAAATACATTTGCATGTCCATTTGAAATCCTCTTTCATGTCATAAAAACCTTGCCATGATCAGTTTAAATTTTTTTTTTTTTTTGTCTTTGGACATGTCCTATCATAGGTACTTCAAGGTTTCAATAAATTGTTTGGCGAACCATATCCAACTACGGACGCGTCTCGTCGAGTCTCTAAAAATGCACATCCGTACTTACCCGACCCCGAACCATGAACCATAACCGATATAGAAAACTCCGTGAATTCCTCCTCATAAAAACATATAAGTCATGAAAACCTCGTAAATCATGAGTAATTCCAATTCGTCGTTGAAAAATATTTTAAAGAAAAAATTCCTTTTTCATGACTTAAAGTCTTTCAATAAAAATTCTTTCCATGAATTGGGATGCTTGTATATATAATGCAAGTACACTATGCATACGTGTTATGTTTTTCATGCCAATGGTAATACCATATAAAACATTAAATTTAACCAATTCAATGCATTTCGTAACATCGTAAACATGCATTATCATAAATATTTTACCTCAACATTCATGATTCACATTTCAATCACAATATAATCACTATGAGATTCTATAGCAATCCACATTTCAACATATAATCAAATAATGGTATATATTCAAACTTTTTACAAACTTCCATAAACATGCATATTCATATATAGTCATCCAATTTCACATTTCACACACACGCATCACATCAAAATAATCAAGAAACCATCAATTACATAATTGTATGTCAAATTACATCGAATACCTTAATTTAGGCCTAATGGGCCAAAAGCCCAACAAAGGTAAACTATGGAAAATTTTCATTTTTAATCAAATCTTCCATACTAATTAATTTTTGTATGCTATTCTAACTTAGGATTAACCAATTAAATACTTAGGAACCAAAAAGACATATACCCTAATTCCTTCCCTAATTGGGCCGAATATGGGCTTTATGAAATTAGGTCTAATTCCCAATAATTTATGAAATTTTTCATTCTCAATCATTAATTCAAGCATAAATAACATATAATCAACCAATAAATAATAATAAAAAATTAAAGTACCAAAAACTCTTAAATTTTCTATTTTGGTCGAATGCTTTCTCTCTCTTAACTTTAGGAGATTTTGATTTTTCTTAATCAACTTTAAGCCCAATTAGCTTGATTTAACTTTAATTACATGAAATTTTAGTTTAGAATTATTTTCCTTAATTCACCCTAACCCTAATTTTCATAATTTTTGCAATTAAATGTAAATTAAAACATCAAACAAAAAATGACATAAAATTGAAATTTCTTGTGGCGTAGGTGAGATTAATTTACATAGAGAAGCTCCTATTTCCCTTTGAAAAGTTGGATTATGTTAAAAACTTTTGCTTCTCCTTTTTCATCTAATATTTTGGCCAAGCTCCTTTAAATTTGTCCTTATGAATTTTAAGCTTCTAACTTGAAATTGAGGTCTAATTAACTGATTGGAGATGTCTTAAAATGTTTGAAAGTGTTTTGGGTGGAAATTTGGCAAGAGTTTGCCTTGTGTTTTTCTAATTTTCTTCCATTTTTCATTTTTCTAGCACTCGTATTTATAGGCAAGTTTGGTGGAATTTTTGACTTAATCTCCACCCTTAATTTGGATCAATCTTGACCCTTAATTCAACTTTTAATCCATTCCCTTCATTTGGCTTAATTTCTAGCCTTATATCCTTCTCTTTATCTTAATCTTTCATCTAGCTTGATTAGAGCCACCCATTTAACTAAAAGTCAAGTTTAATTAATCCTTTAGTTGGCAAAAAATGAGAGGAAATTCTCAATTTTGGTCCTCTAATTTTCATAGTTTTTCATTGATTAGTCTTTCATAAATCCTCCTTTTATTCAATGGATCGCTTTAGACCCTTCTTTTAAATTTTTTATAAAAAATTTTTTACTCTTAAAATTTATATTTAATTCAATTTGAAAGTTTAAATATTTAATTTAATGCAATTGGGTCCCTATTTTTATGCAATTAGGTCCCTAAGTCTCAAATTTTATTCCATACCTTTCCAAAATTCAATTTCTTTTTTATAATAAATTCAAAAACCTCCTAAAAGAATTTAATAATCATTCACATAATTTTTATACACCTATTTAGGCCTTTTAATTAATTATTTAGTGTAAAAATATATTATTTCTTATATAAAATATTCCCTATACATAAAAAAAAATAATCTAAATTTATAGAATATTCTTACACATTCTAAATGATTTTTTAATATCCATTGAATAATTTTCTTATACCTTTAGAGAAACTAAATTAATTAATTTACCTCAAAAACATTATTCATGTACAATAAGGTTCAAATAAAATATTCACAAGCATGTTAGAAAATTCAAAAAATGACATAAAATTGAACTTTGTTGTGGCGTAGGTGAGATTAATTTACATAGATAAGCTCCTATTTCCCCTTGAAAAGTTGGATTATGTTAAAAACTTTTGCTTCTCCTTTTTCATCTAATATTTTGGCCAAGCTCCTTTAAATTTGTCCTTATGAATTTTAAGCTTCTAACTTGAAATTGAGGTCTAATTAACCGATTGGAGATGTCTTAAAATGTTTGAAAGTGTTTTGGGTGGAAATTTGGCAAGAGTTTGCCTTGTGTTTTTCTAATTTTCTTCCATTTTTCATTTTTCTAGCACTCGTATTTATAGGCAAGTTTGGTAAAATTTTTGACTTAATCTCCACCCTTAATTTGGATCAATCTTGACCCTTAATTCAACTTTTAATCCATTCCCTTCATTTGGCTTAATTTCTAGCCTTATATCCTTCTTTTTATCTTAATCTTTCATCTAGCTTGATTAGAGCCACCCATTTAACTAAAAGTCAAGTTTAATTAATCCTTTAGTTGGCAAAAAATGAGAGGAAATTCTCAATTTTGGTCCTCTAATTTCCATAGTTTTTCGTTGATTAGTCTTTCATAAATCCTCCTTTTATTCAATGGATCGCTTTAGACCCTTCTTTTAAATTTTTTATAACAAATTTTTTACTCTTAAAATTTATATTTAATTCAATTTGAAAGTTTAAACATTTAATTTTATGCAATGGGGTCCCTATTTTTATGCAAGGTCCCTAAGTCTCAAATTTTATTCCATACCTTTCCAAAATTCAATTTCTTTTTTATAATAAATTCAAACACCTCCTAAAAGAATTTAATAATCATTCATTTTTATACACCTATTTAGGCCTTTTAATTAATTATTTAGTGTAAAAATATATTATTTCTTATATAAAATATTCCCTATACATAAAAAAATTAATCTAAATTTATAGAATATTCTTACACATTCTAAATGATTTTTTTTATATCCATTGAATAATTTTCTTGTACCTTTAGAGAAACTAAATTAATTAATTTATCTCAAAAACATTATTCATATACAATAAGGTTCAAATAAAATATTCACGACATATTAGAAAATTCAACCAATGGCATCGAATAATCTACCATCCCTCTAGAAAATATTCTATACAAAAAAAAATATTTTTCATGCACATTTGATATGCTTAAATTAATTATTTCATATAAAAGTCACTATTTATGCATCGAAAAATTCAGAAAATATTCACCGAGCATGAAAAACAATTTTAGCTACTCCGAACACTCTAACACCCTTTGAAGATCATTCCATGCTAACAAAATATTTTTCATATGCTTTTAATATTTCTAAATTTATTAAATATCAATTTTAACGAGTATCGGGTACTACCATAATTATCTACAAATGATAACTAATAATTTATAAAACTATTTTTAGGCTAAATTAGCGAGTTCAATTAAAAAAATAAAATAAAAAAAATTCTTAATTGAGTTACTAAAATAACAATGTTATAATTACTTAGAATGTTTTTTTTACTAAACATGAATATTGACTTAATTTTGTCTTAAGTAGTTTTGATGAATTGATTTGATGGTTAAAAAAGTATATTTTATTTATTATTTTTTGAATTTAAATCTTAGAGTCCGTATTTATAAAAAATTTAAAAATTATTAAATTTTTCTAAATACATTTTATATTGTGATACTATAAATATGTCTTTTCTCAAAACTCGTTAACAATAATAGCCTATTTTATATTTTAGTTTTCTATATTAAACGAACGCTAAAGTATATTTTTTAATGATTTTTTAAATAATTATGAAATGTCAGGAAATATTACACCTTGAAAAATACTTTGTCCATCATCGGAAGTTGTTTACTGTTGAACAAAGGGAGCCTAAAACCCTGAACCACAGCAAACTCACACTTGTTTTCTATCTTCCTCTCCCTCTCTCTCAAATTTGAAAGAGAAAAATGTCATTAAGAGTATTAAACCCTAATGCGGAGGTTCTCAACAAATCTGCGGCTGTTCACATGAACATCAATGCCGCTAAAGGTTTACAAGATGTCCTCAAATCCAATCTCGGCCCCAAAGGCACCATCAAGATGTAACTCTCTCTCTCTCTCTCTCTCGTTCGCTGTTTTGTTTTTTCTCTCGAAATTTGTTTTGTGTTTCTGCGATTTAATTACTTTGTCCGTGTCTTTGTATTTTTCAGGCTTGTTGGTGGTGCTGGAGATATAAAGCTGACTAAAGATGGAAACACTCTTTTGAAAGAAATGGTTTTTTTTTTCCTTCGGTTTTCTCTATCAGATTTTTTTTTTTTTTTGGGGGGGGGGGGAGTTTTGACAAGTAAAGGCAGAGTTAGGGTTTTATGCTTTTCTTTTACAGTGAGTCTGCCCTTAGTAATTAGCATACTCAAAAGAATGAGCTTTAGGAGCAACTTGAAGTAGCTTTAAATTGTAAATGCTGAGATAGATCTAAAAAAACAATGGTTATGTTATTTGGGTTTTTAAATAAACAATGGGTGTCTATTGCTGCGGTTTTTTGTGATTTTGCTTGAATTTCTTGGAGGGTTGCAGCAAATTCAAAACCCAACTGCAATTATGATTGCAAGGACAGCTGTTGCCCAAGATGATATAAGTGGAGATGGTACGACATCTACTGTGATCTTTATTGGAGAGCTTATGAAGCAATCTGAACGGTACATTGGCGAAGGTTGGTGAAGTTTTTTAGTTTGAACTATCCGTATTACTTGTGGCTCTCTTTCTTGAGTTCCATGCTTCTGAGTTTTCTGTTTTCTGTTATTTCTCATTTTATGCTTGCTTTTTTCCCTTCTATTCTTGATTCATGATTTTTTTTTTTTTTCAAATGTTATGAGCCCTAAATAAAGAAAGACATGTCCTGACAAGACAGGATAGTAAACCGTGTTAGATTCTAATGCCATAAAAGTTCAAGCAAGTTGGTGTTGTTCAAGGGTTGCATCTGTGTTGTGTTTGCGCGTAGCAGAGGCAGGAATATAAATTTGCATGCTCGTGTGTTTGACCTTGGGATAATTAAATTTTTGATATGATTAATTAATTGATTGCAGTGGAATTTATCATCTAGGCATATCTTAAGTTCTGTTTTTATACTTTCTCTGATGATGAAAACAGTTGTATCATCGTGGTTCTTTCACTTTTGTCTTCTAAATTGGAATAGGGATACTTGGTGCACAGTTGTGAGTTTCATGTCAGAAAATCTAGAGCATGCTTATATGGTGTTTTCATTGCTTATCAGCAGTAACCTTTATATTGTATTCATGGGAATTTTTTCTTTCTTTCTTTCAGGGATGCATCCACGTGTCTTGGTTGATGGTTTTGAGATTGCCAAAAGAGCTACTCTCCAATTTCTTGAAAAATTTAAGACTCCAGTGGTGATGGGCGATGAACCTGACAGGGAAATTCTAAAAATGGTTGCTAGAACAACACTAAGGACAAAGGTAACTTCTATTTGTTGGTTTTACGTCCTGATTGGATTTTATTTAAAATTGACCTTATTCTCTTGTACAGTTGTATGAAGCTTTGGCAGATCAATTAACTGACATAGTCGTCAACTCGGTGAGTGTAGCCAGTGGTGTTTATATATCTTGAGGCTGCTAGAAAAGATGTTTAAGTCAGATTTTGAAGGCTTCTATTTTTGCATTAACTGTACTTTGCTTGTTTGTACAGGTGCTTTGTATTCGAAAGCCTGAGGAAGGCATCGATCTATTTATGGTGGAGATTATGCACATGCGTCATAAATTTGATGTTGACACACGACTTGTAAGTTAATCTTTTTTCATTTAATCTGGATTCCCGTGGAATATTTTCATGCGGGATGTGTTAAAATTGTTTTTTAACTCCCAATGTCCTGATTGATTGATTTAGTTAGGCTCCAAGTGAGTGTTTCAAATGGTTTTTTCATATTGATTTATTTAGTTAGGTTCTTTATTTCTGTAGTTTTTTGTTTTGGCACAATAGGATTTTCAACAATGGTGGTTGAGTAATTAAATCATATTGAATAGAGGTCCTTCATGATTAAGAATGAGAGATTGCAGATCTCCAATAACCGTTTCATGTGAAACAGAATCATTTTTTTTTGGAATGGGATGTGCTTATCATTGACAGTAGATGGAATCACTGCTCTTTTCCATTTTATTCAACCTTTATTCAGTAAAATAATGCTACTTGTTAAATTTCAATGCTGTTACATTGGATTAGGTCAACTTTCCAGGAAATTGGTGATTGATTTAAGTTCAGAAGTTCCTAAGTTTATGTTTTGGACAACTTTTAGTTAGTGTTCATCCTTTATCTCTGTTTGTTGTAATTTTGGTCTTTTGTAGATAAATGTTCTTCTTTTCTAAAAAAATATGGACCCTCTTCGTACTTGTTCTGTCATCCAGGTTGAAGGTCTTGTTCTTGACCATGGTTCTAGGCATCCTGATATGAAACGACGGGCAGAGAACTGTTTTATCTTGACATGCAATGTGTCTTTGGAATATGATAAAAGGTATTTTTCTTGCCAACTTGAATTCGATTGGAATTGATGTTAAATATGAGATACCAAGAACTTTGTAGAGACAGCTGTGGTCTGTTTCAGTTTGTTGGAAGCTAACATTTTTTTCCCACAGTGAAATAAATGCAGGATTTTTCTACTCAAATGCAGAACAGAGGGAGGCAATGGTTGCAGCTGAAAGGCGTCAGGTTGATGAAAGAGTTAAAAAGATTATTGAACTAAAAGATAAGGTTAAGTAGCACATTTAATACATTTTATATTCATGTTACTGTCTCTGCGATACATGTTGGCTTTCTGAAATGTTGCTTATATTTTGGCCTTCCAGGTTTGTTCTGGCACTGACAACAATTTTGTGGTTATTAATCAAAAGGGAATTGATCCTCCATCATTGGATCTTCTTGCACGAGCAGGGGTAAGCCATGGAACAATAATATTTTGTTCCGTAGTGATCTGATGCAAATAAGAATCAGCTACTTAATGCCCATAAATTTGCCTCAATTTGCCGCAAATCATCTTTTTGTGTTAGTATTGGGTGTTAACTTCCGTTCTGTTCTCTCTTATGGTGTATGGCATGAGTAGGGGTTGAATGTCACTAAGGTGATCAATTTTGTTTGTTGGAAATATTATGAGAGGGGGAATGATTCGGGGATTAATAGTTATCCTCCAAAAGGGTCTGATCATTGACTTGGGCAAGAAGGAAAAGACTTTTAACTAGGGTGAAGGGTGGGGGTGGTTGGTTTCGCTTTCTGCCTTTCTTCCTCAAATTTATAAACCACTTTTCGTATCTTTTACTGTTTACTTACACCTTGCGAAGCACATTGTTTGATTATTTTATTAATGTAATTTCCATTGGATCCACTATAAGCTTTTTATTTTTTCCTTGTTTTTTTAAGCTCCTACAAAGCGTTGTTACACTCTACCAATTGCTTTTGTAACAATAATCCTCTTTGCTTAACCATGTAACAAATGCACCCTTAATTTTAAAGAGAAGTTTTAATAAGATAGTCCCACCTTAGATAAATTTTGAACCTCGTAATTATCTTTTGTAGGATGCTGATATAACAAGTTAATGGTTATTTGTGATAACAATTGGTTGCACATTCTAGAAGCCTTCTAGCCTCTCATGTTTTATTTGTAATGTTGCGAAATCTTGCCATATGCTCCATGAAGTAATTATTAAAAGCAAATAAGCAAGGAGGCTTAGGTTTAAGGAGGCACAATATCCCAATTTTAGTTTTTCATTATAGTTTAGATTGAAAATATGGCTAGAATACCTGTCACCACATGTGGCTCCAATTTTATTACAAGCAATACTTGGCTTTTTGAATGCTTTGTCTTGGAGTAGATTCCTTTTTTCATGATACCTGTATGTATGCAAAACGACTATTGCTAGTTTGAGATGTGGTTGATCTACATGCTTGCACTGATGTTGCTTTTTTAAAATGGGGTCAGATCTATTTAAAATGGGGTCGATCTGCTTGCTTACTTTATTGTTTTGCAGATAATTGCTCTTCGAAGAGCAAAGAGGAGAAATATGGAACGCCTGGTTTTGGCATGTGGAGGAGAGGCTGTGAATTCTGTCGATGATTTAACTCCTGATTGCCTTGGTTGGGCTGGACTGGTCTATGAGCACGCCCTTGGTGAAGAGAAGTATACATTTGTTGAGAATGTAAAAAACCCCCATTCATGCACTATCTTAATAAAAGGTATATAGGCATATATACATCTTCAGCAAACTTGTATAAATGTTTATGATTTTCTTTTTTATTTGTTTTAATTGCTATCAGATGGCCTTTCAGCCATCTTTATGATTGTTTTGTTTTTGTTTGTTTTAATTGCTTCTACTAGACAATTTAGCCATCAGGTTGAAGGATGCACTTGTTATGTTCAAGCATGACATGTATAATCCTCTTGCAATTTTTTAATTCAGTAGGGATCAATTCTCACTTGACTTCTTTATTGTTACAGGACCTAATGACCATACAATTGCCCAAATAAAGGATGCTGTCCGTGATGGCTTGAGAGCAGTCAAAAATACCATTGAAGATGAGGCTGTTATACTTGTAAGTTCGCTTGCAGAAATCTATGGGATTTGTAAATGCAATCATGCTTGAATAAATTGTCTCATATTGATTTATATAAAACCCGACTTGCAGTATTTGATGGAGGCTTTGGAAGTTCTGTGGTACATCTACATCTAAAATATAGTTCATGTGTATGCAAGTTATGTTTCTGCTCAAGTGCAGTGTGTTTCATAAAAAAGCGTTTCTTGTATGTACCATCAGTCTAGAACACAATCGACATGATTATTATTGACCCAGCTTAGTGTCAGTCAGATAAACTTAAAACTTAGCTTGCAAGGATGCTGATTAGAATGGACTTTGTTTATCTGGTGGTGGAGCTATGGACTTCAATGTATTTGATTTCAGTATGAAAATAATTTACTTGAAAACTGACAAGATTTCTCTGTTGTAATTCTTGGCATATAATTCTCCAAATAAGCAACTATTTGTCAGTGATGTGATTCAGCGCAGAATTTTATTTCCCACTCAGATGGTGTCTTTTGTTTTCTTCAGGGAGCAGGAGCTTTTGAATTTGCAGCCAGAAAATACCTGATCAATGAAGTAAAGAAAACAGTTAAAGGGGTAAATATCTGCCTGTTTTCTGTATTTGAGTAATTATTCCTATCCCTGGGTTTTAAACCAATGTTTGCAAATTTGGAACAGCGTGCTCAGCTAGGTGTTGAAGGTTTTGCTGATGCCCTTCTTGTGGTGCCCAAAACACTGGCTGAGAATTCTGGGTTAGACACTCAAGATGAGATTGTTTCACTCATGGTACCTATCAGTGGGATCATCCCATCATCCTTCTGTTCTGGGGGCAAAAGACATGGAAAAGAAAACTGATTTGAGCCTTTTTTGCTTTTCTATTCAGGGAGAGCATGACAGGGATAACATTGTAGGAATAAATCTCCAAACAGGAGGGCCCCTTGATCCTCAAATGGAGGGTATCTTCGACAACTACTCTGTCAAGCGCCAACTCATTAATTCAGGGTACACAGGAATTTCTAACTTTTGAGTCTGTCTTTTTCTCTTTCCCTATCTCTCTTCCCGTGGTCCAGCTTTTGTTATATTTATACATATATTGCCTTGTAAGCATGCACTACATAAATGTATGATACTTTTGCCAAACTTCCCTTAAATGATTAAACTTTAAGGAACCAATTGAAGTTGTTCAGTTTTGAACTTTAATGCATCTAACCTAGCTATAATCATACTGCTGTAATTTTCCAGGCCTGTGATCGCATCCCAATTACTACTGGTGGATGAAGTGATTCGGGCTGGGCGTAACATGAGGAAGCCAAATTAGTCATTGACATGCTCTATTATATATATATATATATTTGCCTCATGAGGATATTGTGCTGCCTGGACATGTAACAAAATCTTTTGTGCCTTTATGTGACGAGGACGGTTGTGTTTGTAGGATTGTGTTTGAGGGAATCTCCATTCTTGTCTCATGGAATTTTGATTTAGAATGAACTATTACTTTTTTACTAAGTCTGTTTTTCTTCCATGTGAGCAAGCATTGTTTTTCAAGTTGTACTGTGTTTAGGGGCCATTTTTCTATAGCCCTTGACCAGAAATTGCATTTCTGAGTTGAGTTTAAATTTTTGTAAGGTCTGTACTATCTACAGTCCATCTGGTATCCTTTGTATGCAATGTGTCTGCTGTTGCTATCGAGCGCAAGCAATGGCATCGTGTCAAGTATCTCGAGGGCTTTATTAAGTTCCGACCGTGCCAAAATTTCTGAGCATGCTCCCTTGAAGAACAGGCAGCGTTTACTGCATTTTTGGCTAGATCAGAAGGTTAATCTGATGCATGAGTGGTATTAGGTTCGCACCGGCATCGGAATTAGACTGTAGTAGAGCATTGTGTTTCATAAAGGCTGTTTGGTTTGTGCTACCTAACTTGACATGAAATATGCTCAAGCAATTGGATGTAATCACATATTGATTTTCCTATTTGTTTAGTTTGTTCGATTATGAAAGTTATTTCGTGTAGTTGTTTGACCCATCCACATAATAAAGGGATTAAAGTAATAATTCCTTTTCTCTTTTTGGGTAATTGTTTGGTTAATCTACGTTATTGAATTTGTGAATGAAATTACAAGAAATTAAGTACCATAAGAGATTCTCAATAGAAATATTATCATGTGAGATATGGTTTATACTTTTTTTTTTTCTAACGACATGATGATTTTCTTACAAGTAAAATTAATCTGTGGCTGCTTTGTTCCATTGAAGCATGTAAGTGGCCAGAGAACATTAACCGTTAATTAGTTTCCTAATTTATATTACTTTAGGTGCTGTTTGGTAATCAAGAATAGAGTGATGGGAATGGGAATGAAAGTTTTATTCTCACATTGTAGCTGTTTGTTTAGTTAAAATGAATGAAGTGGGAATGGGAATGAAGAGTGAGAATGAAAATGAAAATTTACAAACAACTTCATTCCCATATAAAATGTAAGAATAAAAAACAAGGAATGGGAATGAATTGAAAATTTATATTACTTTAATTTCTTGCCAAATTCCAACCAAAAATTAACTAATTACCTGCAATTTTTTTTTAATTAAATCCCTGCAAACAAAGGATTATCGTGGCGTCTTTTAATTTGATCAATTGAAAATGCTGGCGTTTAGTACGATGGAGAAAAAATAAACCTGGCCTTCCTAACGGTCATATTTTTCTTTAGTTCATAGCCCCTTCGCTATAATGCAACGGTCATCTTTCTCTCCCTCTTAACGTTCTCTCTCTCTCTAAAACCAAAAAAGAAAAAAATAATTCTTTCAGCGCCTCAAATACAAAAGATCTTTCTCTCCTTCTTAACATTCTCTCTCTCTCTCTCTAAAGCCAATAAAGAAAATTCTTTGTGCGCCTCAAATACAAAAGAAAGAGATCAAAAGCCAGTCATAGATCACATCAGTAGCTCAAGGTAACTTTCTCAGATTCAATTTCACTTTCTAACACTTTGAATTTTCAAATTCTTGAAATCAATGTTTTTTTCCTTGTATTTTTTACAAAGCCTAATTGTTTTTACTCTATCTCTCTTGCATGAATGATTTATTTGTATTGATGCTTTATAGTATTCAGTTTTTTGTTCTCGAATTGTTCAAGTTATTAGAATTATCAAAAAAAGAAAAAAATTGTTCTAGTTATTTGATTTGCTGCATGTTCTTTATAATCAGGTCTAAATTTTATGTGAATTGGTTTTCTCTAAAAACTACGTAACTTGAAGTTCTCTTTCTCTCTCTCGTGTTTTTTTTTTTTTTTTCCAAAATTTGTAGCACTGGAGTACATCAATTTTTCTTTCTTTCCTTCTTTTTTGTGTGTTTGTTTATAGTCAAAATAACGTCAAATAGAGATTTTGATTCTGAGTTTTCTTAGAAGTAGATTTTCTTTGTTTTTCTCAGCAGCCAAACAACTCTATCCCTCTCCGTACGCGTTTAATGTGTTTGTGATTGATCTTTATTTGTATCTTAAGTACATGCGATCCTGTTTATTTTGCTTTTGTTATGTAAAAATCTAGTAATTTGGTTAGGGTTTTTGTTTGGTGCACTTAATTTTAATTGTCAAAATCTTTGTATTTTAAACATGAGGTTAGGGAAAGACAACGCATCTTTTAAGTCGATGGGTCTTGTATTCTATGTAGTTTTACTGTCATAGATTTCTGTGATCAATCTGTTTTTAATGGCTGATCATTTTTAATAATTATTGACAAGGAGTCAGAAATTAATCAGTTTCAACATTTATTTGAAAGATTGGATTGCTACTTCTAAAGTTGTAGCAAGGTTTGCTTCTTTTTCCCCAATGAATTGTATTTGAGAAAACCTTTGTTCTTGCATTCACAATCTGTTTTCATTTTCACTTGTATTAATACATATTGTTGTGGCAAGACGTATACTTCCAAATCTCTATTAGATCGCGTTTTCAAATAGTTCTAGGGTTAAGCAAGTGATTATCATAAGAGGAATGGCCTCCAATTTCATGTTATCTTGTTGATAGAGGATTCAAAAATGAAGGAAGTTTGAGTTGTGATCAATGCCACTGTTTGACAAATTCGTCCATGTTCTTGACAAGTAGTGTATGTAAACATCTTATTGATTGTTCAGTTACAATGATTTACATACCATTCTTGGTAGAGCTATAGAGATTCTAAGAATTCAAGGAAATGTTATGGGAGTATATGTCCTAGAGTTTAACTGGTTTGTTCTGACTTGATTGGTATGCGGGGTTGTACTATTGGGGATAAATCCTGTTTTGTTTTTTCTTAGTTAAATTTTGAAAGTGAATTATGGTATATAATCAGTCATCGTTTCCCATTTTACATGGTTTATTTAGGGAATTAATCAGTTTCAATGCTTTTACAGAATATTCCTTTGAGCTCATTTACAGCAACAATGGCATCACTAGTGAGTAGACGGACACCTCTCGGTGATTTGTCAAATTCAGTGAAGACTGGTGCCTCTCGAATCCCTCATGACGCTAGCAAGATGAAAAGTATCTCCAAAGCACCAGGGAAAGTGCAAACTTCTGGCAGAAAACCGCTTTCCGACATTTCTAATTCAAGGAAGCCTGAAACAAAAAAGAAGAATTTAAATGCAAAGAAGCTAACTGTCCTGACAGAGGAACCAGATCAAACCATTGTAATTGCAGAGGAAAAGTTTCTGCACAATCATCAGGAATGCATCAAAGCACAAACAAGAGCTATGGACGTCAATGAGTTTCTGCAATCAATTGGACTAAAAGACGGTAAAGTAAACTTAACATTCTTCTGCTTACAATCACTGCTCAATCTTTCGTTGTAAGATTCAACTCACATTTTATTTTTTTGTCTAGATTTTTCCAAGAAGTTTGCAACTCCATGTTCACCACCGGCATCAATTACAATGAAGGTCAGTTAGATTATTTCCCTTTCCACATTGTTTCATTTGGGTTCTTCTTTCTTCTTTCTTCTTTCATACGCTAACTTCTGTTTCGTGGATTATCTAAACAAAAAACTGACTTCTATTTAATGCTCAGAAACCCCCAAAGCCCTTCCAATTGGAAGCGATGATCGAGCAGCTCCAGGAAGATTGGTCTTGGCAATACAAACTTGACTCTCCATCTCCTTGCAGAACGCCAGTATCACCAAAGCATTGTAGGGACTGGAAGGAACATGACTGCTGTACCAACTTTAAGTTGCTAGAAACCCCAGAGTTGCCAAAACGTTGATTCTCTCGCTTCAATGCTCATTCTAATAGGTAGAGCATCTATGTTATGTCAATTCCTTTAGCCTTTTGAGTTGGTCTGGAAAGGAAATTTTACTTAACGGTGGTGTATGCTGTAGGTTACTGTGGACGATGGTAGTAGTGACAGTGGTGGCATCCCATTCTTTAAGTAGCCGACCCGCTTGTATATCCCTAACGCTATGTTTTGCTGTGTTTATTCTTACCTGCAAATTGGGACTGATGCTGCTTTTATCATTGTTTCGTCAAAGTCAGTTTTAATTTTCAGATTTGTATCCTCTTAAGTTCCAAGGAACATGATCGATCATGTTCCAAATCTCACCATTAATTTTGAATTCAACTGTTTAGATCATGTGAGAAAAAATATGATCAGTTGTTATCATTTTTATTGTGTAATAAACCATGCTACGTTTTTCCATTATACTCTATTTTCAGTGTTTGTATATAGAGAGAAATTGAAAGGGCCTACGTTATGCGCTCTATAACTCTTGGCCCAAATTTTTTTCACTAGCCTAATTCCTCTAAGCCTTAAGTTCTGCATATCCTAATTCCTATGCCTATAATTCCCATCAGTCCCATGGGCAATATAATTCCTCTAAGCCTTAAGTTCTGCATATCCTAATTCCTATGCCTATAATTCCCATCAGTCCCATGGGCAATATAATTCCTCTAAGCCTTAAGTTCTGCATATCCTAATTCCTATGCCTATAATTCCCATCAGTCCCATGGGCAATATAACTAGCCCCCCTAAACTTGTCAAATTAGAGAAACTGAGTATGGAGAATGGATGGATACTTCCCTACTTTTTGCTTCGTTTTGTTTTTTTTCAACTAGCCCAATCTTGTTAAATTAGAAAAATTGTGAATGGAAACGGACATTTTTTTGGATTATATGATGACAGAATAGCGTGCGAAAATATGTGGATTCTAAGTTTGCTTTTTCGGATTAAAATGTATTAGTATATAAAAAAATTCTTCATATTTATATTTGTATTTTTTTATTCGATAATAATGATATTTTCAAACTAACTTCTCCGTTACTAAATTTTGTATTTAAACTCTTTTAAATGCTAGGCTTAACATCTGAATTCAGAAAGTTAAGAAGTGAGCAAATCTCTTTAACTATAAAACCAATTTCTTAAAATTACATTTTTATATTTGTATAATTTAATTCAACAAACTAAATTCATTAACAAAATTATTTCGAAACCAAAACAACTAGTCAAGTCTCTTATTATGACTAATTTCTTGTGCTTCTTTTCCATTAAATAACAATAAATTTTTTTTACCTTCTTTCATACTTCATTAATCCTCTTGCCAAACTCCAAACTCGAAAATTAACGATAAACAACTTGAACAAAAATTTGTGATTTAGGTCATAAACGGTGTTGTGTAACATTTGCATAGCGTTTTATGATCATAATCTTCCAACACACCATAAATAATAATAATAATAATAAATAATAAATAAATTAAACCAAAAATAAAATAAAATCTAAGCTAAAGAGATGAAAAATTGCTACCTAGAAAGTTGTGTTTGATCCATTTTGACTTTAAACCGATAGGGTTTCTCCCTACAATGGCAACGACAACTCGCCCACAATAGGTTTATCCTGCTAGTTTTCCCCATGGAAGACTCGGCCCCCTCTCCCCACTCCCTTCTCTCCCTCTGTCTAAGTCCCCATCGCTTTCCACGACAAACACCATGTCCACTACACCGACCCCATAAAAATCCATGCAACATCGCAATAACCCGAGTATCACGGTAGCATCGAAGCAATGCACGGTAGCATATTCTTCAACCGAGGTCGAATACCATTTCGTGGCCACCAATGCAGTTGAACCCTAATGGCTTTACTCTCTTCTTAGTGAGTTGGACGTCTTTCTTCCTCGACCACCAATGATATATGATGAAAACATTTGTAACACCCCCTCCCGGTTCACTCTCTATTACCCCAATAGGAATAACTAGGCGAGGCGCGTCACGCCGACATGATCAATTTTTTAGTCAACCTTAAACACGTACGTGCTCATACGTTAAGGACTTATTATACAATGATACGGGTCCAAGAAAATTTATATAATATTAATAATATCGGGGAAGAAATTATAAAATTTATTTACAATATCATCAAAATGTTCATTGACACCCCAACCGTAAAATTTACAAACAACACAAAAATCTCCTAAAGTTTATGTTACCCTTGAGCCCTTTTGGAGGATCCGACAGGCGTCCTTATTGGTACTACGATCACCGCTACTCGTCATAACATGCAAATAACGACGGGGTGACGCACGTGATATGCGAGTGCTTTTTTAACTTCCCATCATTCTTATCAATTTTTAATTCCGGTACCACAGGTATTAGTCGTCTACTCTATAAGTGATTACCAAATCACCAAATACTAACAACGAAATTATCCCTTGTTGTAGCCACTCGTTGATGTGAATCCATCGCCTAACAGTGCGGACACACGACTTAGAGTACGCACACGACTAAACCGCTAATCCCTTTTTATTCGATTAGGTTATCAAACCTATTCATACAACTCAATTCTCAATTAATTGATTATGTTCCCATTTCTTTCCTATTGATGCACATGATGCACGTGATACCACAATTACGGTACCATATTAAACATATCCAACCCATACGAGATCCGACTTTATATATTTTCATAGGTCTAACCACATAGGGTTTCGGGCATACTCGTACCCCTTATCATCATGTTTCCCTTTGTTAGGATTTAAGACCAACGAATGGTATTGATTTAGTCATAGGTCTAATTGTGTATGTAGGTACTTTCCTTTTGTTTCTTATCATAATTCTAAGTTCCACTATGACTTAAATAATTAAGAGCATTTGAACCCATTTTCACTCATTTTAAGGTATATATTTTTTCTATTTTCATCTTATATCTATTTGAGCCTAATTGACCATTAATTACGTTATCTTGATGAAAAGGAACGGAGATCGAGCAAATATGAAGTAAAAGTAGTGAATTTTGAGTGACCGATGAATTACACGAGCAAAGATACGTCCGTGCGGGAGGACGTGTAACTCTCCGACTTGAAGAAAAACATATTTGTTCATTACACGAACAAAGACACACCGATCCGGGAGGCCGTGTAGCTCTCGACTTCAAGAAAAATACATTTCTTCATTACATGGGCAAGGACACTCCCATGTGGGAGGTTGTGTAACTCCCCGATTTGAAGAAAAATACATTTTTTTTAATTACATCGGCAAGGACACACCCCTGTAAGATGCCGTGTAGCTCTCTAACATCGAGAAAAATACATTTCTTCATTACATGAGCAAGGATAGGCCGTGTGGGAGGTCGGGTAACTCTCCGACCTAAAAGTTTACTCAAGAAGAAACCTAAAATTTCATTTTTCTTTCATTCATACTCCATTTTATTCAAGTCTATACAAGTCCTAAATTTATCCACCATGTTTTGTGTAACCCAATTCCATCATTCACCTCCGCCAAACATGAATTTAACCATATACAAAGCTTTTTAAATTTTAGGAAGCAACCAACACATCCAATCAATACAACCAACCATACCAATAAGAATTGCAAGGCAAATCAATCAACACAACCAATCACAACAACATATCACCACCTAAATACATGTTTAGTCAATTGCATAAAGATTAAATAAATGGTATAAACAAGTAAAAGTTAACCCACTTACTTAGATAGACTTGATTAGGCTTTTTCCTAGCTTTTCCTTCCTTTTTCTTCTTTCTTTCTTTCCTCTCCTTTCTCTCTTTCTTTGTTGTTTTCTCTCCCTTTCGTGTAGCTACGGGATGCCTAAAATTTTCTTGCCACTTTCACTTATTATATATATATATATATATATATACATGCTTGAAATCTTAGTACTAATTAAGTGTACGGATGTCTTAATTTAATTTGGGAGAGTGAAAAGTAATTGGTGAGTCAAGAGAGAGAGAGAGAGTGGCGGGTTTGATGGGTTTAGGGTGAGCTTGCCATAATTCATTAATTAAGGGGGTTTATGTGTCCTAACTAATTAGTTAGACTAACTAAACACCCTAACTAACTTAGTTTCAAGTAACTAACATAGTTTCCTTCAAGAATTTTTCAGAAATTCCTCCTCTAAACTCGGAAATTCCTTTCCCTTTCATTATGATATTTCCAAGAAAAATATTCCTATATTCTCAAAATTTTATACACACTCTTATTTCACTTGTATAGCATGTCCCAAGTACTTAATATATAATGAGTGGTAACAAATTAATTTATTTAAACTTCACCCTAAAAATCTCACATAAATGCCTCAAAATTTCTACATAAGTGCTAAATAATTATCATCACCAAATAATTAAAATGACATCTACAATTACACTCGTACTTAATGTACATTTACACGAATGTTCCGATATATATATATATATATATATATGTTTCATTAAAGATTTTCGCAGGGGTTATAACATTGGTGCCATGCACTTGTGTTCTAACCCGATTTTTCATTCTCGTATGAAACAAGTGGTTTTGGATTATGATTTCATCCATGAACAAGTTTAGAGTGGTGCATTGGGCATTATGCATGTCTCTTCCGCTGATCAGCTCGCCAATGCTCTCACTAAGCCACTTGCCCGACCTCACCTCACTCTTTTTCGAGACAAGATTGGCCTGACCTCTCAGCTGTCCATTTTGTCGGGGCTTGATGAAGGACACAACTAAGATTAGCATATACCTCTGGTACAACGTGTGCAATTAGCTGAATTAGCTCCTATTATTTTGCTCTTTTACTTCCTAGATAGGACTCTCTCATTGGATCCTATTTATATCAAGTTGTACCTACTGAAATAACAAGCGATAATTACCTACTTCTCACAATAACTCTGTCTCTGAAATTCTTCATTTTAAACCTTTTCTATGCAAATTATATATCATAATCTTGTTGTTGTAACTCAAGGGCTTCACACTTAAGAAAACTGAATGGGAATCGAAATTAGACTTGAGCAAAGTAGCGAGATGTTTAAGTATTAATTTCTGGAATCTAATTCTGCATAAAAAGTATTAATTTTTAGAATATAGGCTTTAGGAAGTTCTCTTGGCTCCAAACTTTTCCGAGATACGGACTTGGCATTACTCGCTCATTTAAATAACATGTACTTATTGTTGCTTCAAAATGGGAATATATATATATATATATATATATATATATGAACTTGTACAGATAGAATATTTAATGAATTTAGTTCTAGCTAAATAATACCAATTCCTACGAGTACTAGTATCCTGTCGATATGCAAAAGTATATATAAGTGAAAGCAATGCGCATCTAAGAGTTTCCTAAATACCAAGAGGTATTAGACTTTAGCTTAGACATGTGAGGTTGTCACCTTAGACGTCTAATGTAGACATCAAGCTCTTGCTTATATGCCTAATGTATCGAATTATACATATAAGAGCCAAATACTTTTTATTAGACCGTGTTTTTAGCTTATTTATTGACGTGGGTACTTATTAAGTATTAGCATATACTAAGTTTTTTTTTATCCATAATACGTTACGGATCGGACAAAATATACAAACTTATTTTTAAAGAAAATTATTTCTATTTGATGCCTTATGTTACACTCGTACATATCTATCAAAATATATCAAATTAAAATTGAATAAAAATTTATTTAATTTTTCACTCAAAATTTTGTATTTGACTAATTATTCTTTATATTTTTCATAAATTTTTTATTAAAACATATTTTTTATTTATCTCTCGTCCATATTTTTAACTAAAAAAAAATTATCATAATGTTAGAAAAAAGAAGTTAAAATCAATAGATTCTTAGTTAAAAACTTGTTTTGTAAATTATTTTTTTGTAAATTTTTTTTTGCCTTAAAATTTTTAATTTTAAAAAATAGAGTAAAAAAAAACAAGGATCAAAGTAACCAAAATAAAGCAAAAATGAGGGACCAAAATAAAATAAAAAACATGAGAAAAAAATGTTTAAAAAAGAGAGACTAAACTCGTAATACTTTGGAAAAATTTCATAATAAATGGTTTTAGAAAGTTGAAAAATTGAAAAAATGTCATCGTAGTATAATAATAATAATAATAATAATAATAATAATAATACATATGAGTGTATGTGAATAGTAAAAAAAAAGTCTCGGTGAATAGCATTTAGAACAATGCTAATGAATAACAAACTAACATTTTACTTTAAGGTTTTTTTTTTAAAATATATAATTTGTAAAACATTTTATGCTTTTGAAAATAATAGGTCAATTTCCAAATTTTAAAAGTATTTTTAATTTGATTGAAAGTCATGTTACATTGACCTTTTTTTTTTTTCAACACTCAACAAATATGAAAAATTATCTTCATGAAGATTATTTTTCAAAAACAAATGTCTCCTTTCACATGGAAAACATGATTAATTTTATTTGCAACAGAAATGATAAGATTTAACATCTTTCAATAAGTAAGATTCCGAATTCGAATATCTTATGCATTGATAGAAAATTTATCTAGATCATTTCTTTTATTATTAGACTAACAACTTGTTGATAGAGTATGCCTTTTTTTAAAAAAAAAAATTATATTCAATTGCTAGTGGATGATTTACTATTAGAGTGTTTGTATTTTTATAAATTTTTAGTGCTGGTGATGGCCGATGAGCAGGGAATCACAGAAATGCAAATTGCAAAGGCCTTCGGCAACCAATAATCTATTGTGCCAAGCATGTTCCCTTGGGAGAGTTGCACGAATGATATTAATGTTGATGTAAGGAAAAGTTGATTTCTTGATGCAATAAAGGTCCATTAATTCTTACAAAAATATTTAAAGCTTACAAAAATTTATGTTAAGGAAGGAGTGAGGGAGCGAGGGATTTATTCGGACTTGGTATTAGTTGACAAATCCTCATCCTGACAGGAAAATGATATAGATATGTTACCTAATGATCGGGAACCATCTTATAATTAAAAGGCATTTACCCTTCACAACGTTTCGTAACAACCCATGTGGAACCAATATCAAAACGAAAAGGTACACACGAAATGCAAATTTACAGGGTTCATAGTTCAAACCAACCGCTTCATAAATGCATCATCCGATACATATTGTTGTTGCTGCGAATTTTTTGTTTTCAAATGCTCATTTGGTAATGGGGGAAATCACAGGGAATAAGTTAGGCACTCAAAGGACCCTTGACATCTTGTTGAAGCATGTATTCTCTCTTCATCTCTTCCAAGACAGCATCATTCGTACTGCAAAACAGATATACCAACAATAAGAGAGACACAAATATGGAATTCAATAGATGTGACATTTCCTTCTCAAAACAAAACAAAACAAAGCCTGTTATATTTCCTTTTGATATCTTATTCCAAGGGAAACATATTTTACGATTAACCCTTCATAGTATTCTAGTGAAATATTTCATAAGTTGGAAATATGTTAATATGTCAACAGGTGTCAGTGCCAGAACCATTATTCAAAACATAGGTTGCTTCAGAAAGAACCAAGATAAACCATGAGCCTTATATCTGATCGCTTTCATCTTGGTAGATATTTGAAGGCATATCATACCCAATTCATGTTAAAGGCATTCATGGTAGATTTTGGCAAACTCATTCTTTACAAGGACAAGGAAAGAAAATGATGCACTAGGGTTGAAGGAAGGGTGCAGAAACTGATGGCTTTTCATACATACAATTTGCATTTCTAATTTCAACTATGATTTGGACTGTAAGCATACAATAACAAGAAGAAAAAGCAACCATTCACTTTAGCATGTCATCTAGACAAAAAGCAGAGAGGAAATTTAAAGGATCGGGCAGTTAGAGCTCAATGATGAAAATTATGGCAATCGACCAAGAAAATGTTGGTTTTTCTACCCCTTCTTTTTACAGCACACCTCATTTTTAGATGCAAAGAACATTGCCTCGCTATGTCTGCAATTGAAAAATCATCAACAGCAATAAATTGGACATTTAAAGCAAAGTTCCTGCATGCAAGTTTTGCTGAGTCGTCAAAAGTACCATGTTGTATCACCAAAACAGATTAACCTAGCAACTATCTCTACAAGGCACCCAAAAAACCCCATCACAAAAAAATCTTTAAATCCCAGCAAAGAAAAAAAGCATGGAGGAAACATGGTCATCTGCCACAAACCAACTCTTAGCAAATCACATATAGAACCATAGATATCTCTACTCGGCCTCATCATGTTTCCAACTACTCTAGAATCTACAATATGATTGGTCCTCTGGGTGCATCAGTCTCAATCTCAAACAGCAATCTAAAATTTACCAGAAGAATAAAATGGGGCAAAAGCTGAGGGCATATTCAAAGCTTTATCAATTGGCTTAGCTACTCCAGGCTAGCCAATGTCCCATTAGAACCCTATCAAAACCAGTATTCACTAAGCAAAGCATGTGCAGACTTAATCCTCAGAGGGCTCCCAAGTTTAGTCAAGTCAACTCACACTATCAGTAAGCAAACCTAAAAAACACCTTAGGGTAGACGCTTACACTGAAAACAGTACAACCTCTAAGCATCTCTACTTATCCAACAAATAAATGATAATTCTAAGAAATCTACAATGGTAAAACCAAGTCCAAGCAGATTTATGGAATAACAGTCACAGTTCAAATTTTGTTTCGTCAGGCAAATATCGTTAGGCTTTCCACAAAACCAAAAGGAAGACCTCAAATACACTTTAACTTTATTCCCACTCAAAAACTGGGGAAAAGGTCTTCAAACTCATTAACACATTCTCCTATAAGAGGATGGAAGTCTCATATTCCTTACTTAATACAGCTTATTCACACAACTACTTTACTTCCAAGAACCAATCAAAATGTGAATCAATTATACAACTCTCATGAAAACCAACATATCACGATCATCATCATTAAACACACGAACACGAAGACACGCGAACAAAATCTTACAAAAAAAAACTCAAACCAACACTCAAATAAATAGATAAGTAAATACAGACACATTAATCAAACTTACTATTGATGAAGGCAGTCGTTCAATTCCTTAGCCTGTTTCCTACACTGCCACACAACAGAAATTGTTCTTCCAGCTGCACATTGCGCGTATTTCGACGTGTATTCCTCGCATTGTTTTAGTGCCTTCTGCTTCATTTTGCTTCTCAAAGCTACAAAATAGAATTCAATAAATAACTAAACTTTAAACTCATATACACTCAAAAAGATAATCATCAATGCAATTAAAAACACAACCCAGAATTCAGAAAGTCATTTCATTAACAAAGATTGTCTCTTTTAGAAAACAAACAAACAAATGGGGTTCTGTTAGGGTTTAAGAGGTGGTAATAGAGTATAGGAGGAGTACCTTCTTCAACTTTCTTCTTCACGTGATTCTCACGTGCTTCCTGTACGTACCCCATTTCGAAAGCTCAAGCTTACTCAACGATGCTGGATTCGGATTCTTGAGTATCAGTTCTCCTGCAGTGGGTAAGAGATCGAACTCAATGAGTCAGTTTTCTACTCAGAATGGAGTTTTTCATGTGTAGTCTGGCTTCTGTATTGGACCACTTAACCAGTGAAAAGTTGGGTCGGGCTTGGTGGCTGGTTCCGGGACTCAGAAGTCTACTACCCATATGGGAAAAACTCAAGTCTGCTACGATGGCGTTTCAATTTAATTAATTTTCATTATTTTGCAAGCGGTTGCTTTCAGCCTTTCGCCCTTTTTGACAAATGCATCTGAAGTCTGAAGATGCGTCGTTGCCTCATTGGATGCTTATCATTCATCAGAACAAACCTCTTTCTTGTTATTTAGAGTAAACCTAGATTTTTTTACCAACCTCATGCTATGTATCAGATAAAAAATAAAAAATTATTTTATTTTAATGTTATGTGTTATATTATATATGTATTAAAATATATCAAATAAAATATAAATAAATTTTTGAATCAAAATTTTATATTTGACTTATTATTCTTTATAATTTTTATAAATTTTTTATCAAAAAATTATTTAATAGTATAAAGAACGACAAAACCAATGTATTTTGACTAAAAAATTTTTTATCTTAAAATTTTTTATTAAAAAATCACAAAAAAAGATCAAAATGACTAAAATGAAACAAAAAAACAAAAAAAAATTTATTATATTAAAAAAAATCAAAGTGCTGATATTATAAAAATTTTCATAATAAATATCTTAAAAATATTTAAAAACTATACAAATGCTATTGGATAATATACAGAATAATGTATTTTAAATAATAGATAAACAGTAAACTATGATTTTATTTTAATTTTATTTATAATTTATAAAGTTGAGTAAAAAACAATTTATTATATTAATCTGAGTCGTCAAAAGTCCAAACATGAGATTGACAAGCAGCAGTTAATAATTGATGAGCCCAAAATTTCGAAAATCCAACTCCCAATTTCCTTGAAGTAATAACCAAACCAGGAAAAGGTAAAGAAACTGAGGCCCACACACAGCCAATCAAATTATCCATAGGGTTTTCAACGACTTTTTAGCCTTCAAAGTACGTGTGTGGACACACACACAGAGGATAATCCTTAACACCAACTTACACTCCCGTTGACGGTCAAAGCCAGCGTGTCCTCACCAAAAACAATAAATACGAAATGAAAAATAAAAACTCCAGGAAATCTCGGCTGCCCAACACTTGTCACTTTCTTATTGGACCCCTCTCCTCTTGACGTCTCTTTTTAAGAAGCCCAAAATACCCCTCTCTTCGTTTTCGTCTTCTTCATTTCTCGGATTCAGAGGGAAAGAGAGAGAGGTGTCGTCTCTGCAAATCTATTTTCAAGGTAATTTTGGTTTTTGTTTTTTAATTATTTTTTTGGTTGTTTTTAGGACTAGATCTGTGGTTTTATATGGTTATCTTCATGGATTTATGTTATTTGTGGTTTGTTTGGATTTATTTAGTATGTTTTTTATTCGATCTGCTGGGATTTTTGTTTTTTAATTTTTTTTTTGGTTTCTTTTTTTGCGATTTGTTTGGATGCTGAGAAACTGTTGGAAACGGAGAGGATTTGTTGTTTTGTTTGATTCTAATGTGTTTTGATACAGATGATTGATTTGGCTAGATAGAGGAGATTTTTTGTATTTTTTTATAATTTTTTGAGATATTAAAGAATAAAAGGTCAGATTTGATTTTCACGATTTGCTGAGGAAATGTTTTTGAAAGTAAAGGAATCGATAGCTTCGATTAGGGCTTTTAATTTTGAGGCTGAGAGTGGGAGTTTCTAAAAGAAATTATTGCAAAAATGAAATGTTTTTGTAAGTTTAGGTTTGATTTTCTTGCTTCCATTCGCGTGTGCGAGTGTGAATCTGATCATTTTCATTAGTGAGAAAAATGTTGGAAAAGTTAGGAACTGGTGTTTGTTTTGTTCTTAAATGGGGGTGGAAGTTCTGATTTGTGATCTTGATCTATTTGGGACTGTATGTTTTTGTTAATAACAATGACGAGATATGACTTTTAGAACCTGTTTTCATATTTGATTCAGGGCTTTGATTTTGTAAATTTAGCTAAGATCATTGAAGGATACTTCTTGCCCGCCCATTTGGGGGTTGTTGAGAACGTGGTGTTTTTTTTTTTTTTTTTTTTTTTCAACTTGGTGCCTCTAGCTAAATTTGTTTTAAGCTTGATTGATTTTTCTCTTTTGAGATTTTAAAGCTTGTAAAAGGTCGATAAATTTTGTAAATTATTACTAACATAAGGATGAAAAGTTGGGAATCAACAAATTGAGACATGTTATTGAGTGGTTGATGGAAGAGTTAATTCATAACTTTATGCAAGCTAGTTATGTATTTAAACGTTGCCATTTGAGTTTGATATTGTTAAGCTTTCTCTAATGATACATCTGTTTGGAATTACCTTGCAGAAGTAACTTTTATTTTGCTATAAAAATGTCACCAACTGAATCGTCACGTGAAGAGCATGTTTACATGGCCAAGTTGGCCGAACAGGCTGAACGTTATGAAGAAATGGTAGAGTTTATGGAGAAAGTTGCAAAGACAGTTGATACTGAGGAGCTAACTGTGGAGGAAAGGAACTTGCTCTCTGTTGCCTACAAAAATGTCATTGGAGCCAGGAGGGCTTCATGGAGGATCATCTCTTCCATCGAGCAGAAGGAAGAGAGCAGGGGAAATGAAGATCATGTCACAATCATTAAGGAGTACAGGGGCAAGATTGAAGCTGAGCTAAGCAAGATCTGTGATGGAATCTTGAACCTCCTTGAGACGCATCTTATTCCCTCTGCATCGTCTGCTGAGTCCAAGGTATTTTACCTCAAGATGAAGGGTGATTACCACAGGTATCTTGCTGAGTTTAAGACTGGGGCTGAGAGGAAGGAAGCTGCCGAGAGCACTTTGTTGGCTTACAAGTCTGCTCAGGTGGGTCATTATTGTGCTGACTTGTTGCCTACTATTATTAATTTGTTTGGTTATTGTTGTTGTTGTTTGTGCTATTTGGCTTTATATGTGCAACTATTATCTCTCTGCTTAGTTTTTGTTTTGTTTTGTTTGTTGCAGGATATTGCTCTTGCTGAACTGGCTCCTACTCACCCAATAAGGCTGGGGCTTGCTCTTAACTTCTCTGTGTTCTACTATGAGATCCTTAACTCTCCTGATCGTGCTTGCAATCTTGCCAAGCAGGTATTTCCTTGCATACAATGCCAGTTAGCTTGTATCTGCTTCTATGTTTAGGCAGGTTGTGAAATGGGCATTCTTTTTCTTTTTATTATTTTGAGTAAAGGGAAGTGATTGATGTTTTTCTTTACTTTTGGGAGTATATTTATGGCTCTCCATTCCTCATTCATTTTGTTTTGTAAATTTTGGAACTGGCATGTAATTGGATCTTAGCTGTGAACTTGATGGAAGTTAACAGTATTGAGTGCTTTAGCAGTCATGTCGAGAAATTGTATTAGCTAAACTTGGTTTGTTTAGTTTGTGAAGCGTTGATGCTATTACATTTGGTTTATCCCCTAAAAATGTAAATATGTATTTGTCTATAGGGTTGGCATCATTCATTGGGAGAACTTTTTGGTCCTCTCTTCACTTTACTAAATACTGTTACAACTTTGTGAAATCAGTTTGGCTTGTTTCTAACTGGTTCATACTAGTACATTTGTTCTTTTATATTCAATTTGACCTGTATTACTATAAATCCTAGTTGACAAGGCCTTGTTTCCCCAAACCTGACTTGATCTATTCAGTCCTTGGCGTTGATATCTTGGATTACATGCCACCAATCATTGACCAATATCTTGGCCTTCTTGACATCACTAAAAAGTACTTCATTTGGTCAGGCTTTTGACGAGGCTATTTCTGAGTTGGATACATTGGGCGAGGAGTCTTACAAGGACAGCACATTGATCATGCAACTTCTTCGAGACAATCTGACACTCTGGACCTCTGATATCACGGTCTCTCTCTCTCTCTCTCTCTCTCTCTCACACACACACACACACACATTCATATTCTTCGTGCACAAGTTTGCACAGGCAGGCACCAGTTCACATTTGTGGAAGCATGCATTTATGTACACAAAACCATCAAATCCTGTGTTGTAACCATATTGGCAACATAACCGATTTTGTGCATTGCATGTTTTTTAAGAACATTATCTGCTTTGCACTTGACATCGTAGAACTACTACTACCTGATTGGACAGAGCTGACCACGCTGTCTGAAGTTCAAAGGCAAATAATGCCTGATACTGATAATATTGTAGCCAATGTAGTATGTTGGCATGTTGAGGTCTCTTTTTATCATGATTGATCCTTATTTGAGGTTATTAGCATCTTATGATAGACCTAAACAGATTATGGTATTAGGAATGGTCTTGGGTGGTTTTGACCTGATGTTGCTTATTCATGGCCAACTGCTTGTAACCTTTAAAGGCTTCTAGTCTATATTGTTCTGGTCACGCTTAATGTATTCACCATTCCTATTTTAGGATGATGCTGGGGATGAGATCAAGGAAGCTTCAAAACGTGAATCAGGCGAGGGGCAGCAGTGACGACGTTCAGTTCATAGGATTTATGCACTCTGTATTTCTATCTTGTGACAGTTACAGACGCCATTTGGGTTGTTGTAGTTGGATTTATTAATGAATTTGATAATCTTGAGTGCCATGCCCCGACAGTACTTGGGATTGAAATGTACCAACAGATTATCGAGTTTTTAGTATTGATGCCTACAATCTAGGTTGGTGTTTTTATCAATTTTTTTACCCTCGAATCTGGGTTTGCTGCTCCTCATGGCTCTGCTATGTGATTTTATCATACTACTGGTTTTGAATTTTGACTGTCATAACAAGTGGAGAAAATTGTTGGTGCGCAATTGATGGATACTTTCTTCGATATTTTCCCTGTTATTTTGGGAATAAGCTTACGTGGCTGAATGCTTTCTTTGATATTTTTCTAAAGATATTCTGGGAATAATCGGTTCAGAAATGGGTCTATTTTCGACAAAGTAATACTAAGCAAATGCTGACTCTAATGTTTTGTCATCCATCTTTAATTCAGTGCTTGCGAGTTGAATTCCTTCAGAAGACTAACCATCCAATAGGCTCGTTTATCCATTTTCCAAAGGGTGGTTCCTCAAAAGTCCTGTTTGGTTGATTGTAGAAGAACTGGAAGCATTGAAGTTCTCGAATAGGATTTTCCCTTTTTTTGTTCATCAGGACGTTTTCAGGCGTATTCCCTTCAAAGTAAATAGCTCTATTGGTGTGGATGATTAAATGGAGTTACATATACGTTTATTCAACTATACCAAGTTGAAATTCCATAGAGATTCCACTACAGTAGGGTTCTTTGCTTGCAAGTGTGAGCAATTTCAAGTTCATAAATTTACCGTATCCATGTAAAGAACTCAACTGAAAGAAAAAGTAAAAAGGCGGTCAAACTTAAGTTGGGGCTTTGCCGCTGCTTGAAATGGATTAATATTTTGGGTTTCTTAATTGGGCTTTGAGACCAACTGTTTTTGTTTGCTCTTTAACCTATGGACGTAGCAAATAGCCTGTTTGGTGTTTTCCCAATATGTTCTTACTAAATGATATATATATATATATATATATATATATATATATATATATGGAAAATGTATGATTGAAAAAAAAAATGGAAAGGAAATGCATTATTCTCAAATAGGGTTCTTGATGTTGCCTTCTTTTCCATCTTAAAAACGTGTGTTAAAAATGTTAAATTGAGCCTCCAAATCCCACAAGAAAATAAATTTAAAAACGTCATCGTTTGTCCCTTTCTACTTTTATCAACCCACCCATGAGTCCACCAGGGTGTGACTAGACTCTCCACTGTCTGAATCCAATTCGCATAAACAAAAAGGAGGAGGAAAAGCCCCACTGCTGTAGCTAACCCCAAAAACCCTTAAAAAAACCTTCCCCTCATAAATACACCCACACGCATTCTGATCTTCCTCTTTCCCTCCAATGGCAACTGAGTCCTCTGTGATTGCCTGGTAAGCACCCTCTGTCTTCTCTCTCTCTCTCTCTCTCTCACTCTTTTAACCCTATAAATCGCATTTGTATTAAGTAAAATGATGGAAGTGTATTCAGTTTTATGTTGTGTGTGAAATAACGAACAGGGGATCAGGTGAGGATGGACAACTAGGGATAGGAAACAACGAAGACAAAGAATGGGTTTGCGTTGTCAAAGCTCTTGAACCTTACAAAGTTCGCTCTGTTGTTGCTGGAAGCCGCAACTCTCTTGCCATTTGTGGTGATGGCAAGGTTTTTCTTTTTCTTTTTTACTTCTTTTATTTACCCTTCTCTGTCTTCAACTGAAATACTAGTGTAAATTGAATGGTTTGTTTGATATGAATGGTAAAAAGAAAAAAAAATGATCGAAGTTTGTCTTATTAGCTTCTCAGTAAAAATAATGATTGAAAATTCAGTTTTTTTTTACTTCCTTCCTATAGTAAATTTTAAGTCTTTAATTTGGCTAACGATTAAAGTAGTTAAAAACTTTAGTGAAATAACTCTTACAATTTATTTGGATTTAAGTAATTAAATAATTTGAATAAATTGATTGACTTGTTATTGATTTGGATTTGAGTCAACATTAAAAATGATCAACTTGAATGAACTGTTGAGGGCACTCTTGTTTCTGTATGAATGCTTTTTTTCCCTTAAGAAATGGGATTTGAAAAAATGGTTTTGATTGATTTGCTAGTTGTTTACTTGGGGTTGGAACCAAAGAGGGACACTAGGACATCCACCGGAGACCAAGACTGAGAACATTCCTAGCCAGGTCAAGGTTCTTGATAATGTCAACATTGTTCAGGTAATAATTTTACTTTATTATTTATATATATATATATATATTTTAAAACCATGATAATTATGCTTATCTTTGGTTTTGCAATGACTGGCGTCTGTGTGTGCGCTTGTTAATCATTTTGTTCTAATATCTGGTTTTTGGGTTTCTTGATTTTTAGGCGGCTATTGGTGGCTGGCATTGTTTGGCTGTTGATGATCAAGGACATGCTTATTCTTGGGGTATGCAATGATCCCTTTTTAGTTTTTTTTCTTTAATTAATCATCTCATCGTCTAATGAATCATTGAGATAACAAGGAATTTTTCTTTCCTTATCTGAAATACGTCACTTGGTTTGGTTAATTGCTCTATGAAAGAAAAAAAGTTGAAGAAAATTCGATGATTTTTTTTTCGGATGAATAATGATTCATGTTCATGCTCTTTTTCTGCTTTTGTGTCTCGTGAATGTAGTTAGAATGCTCATTGTTTGTTTATTTGTAAAAGAACTAGTGGAGCTGTCACTTGTGATGAATGATGAATCTAAGAAATATGATGTATTATTTACAATGTAGGTGGGAATGAATATGGCCAGTGTGGTGAAGAACCTGAGAGAAAAGATGACACTGGGAGGCCTTTGAGAAGGGATATAGTCATTCCCCAACGCTGTGCATCAAAACTTGTAGTTCGACAGGTGATTTTTCTTTTCTGCAAATCATTATAGAGGACAGGCGCTTTGCTCTTCCACAATAATGTAGAAGAGGATAGTTAATTGTGCATGTATGTTTTTCGAGGCATTAATGGTGAGTTAATATTAACAGTATGCAATTTCCTCTTGCGGCTACTTTCTATGAGCCAAGAAAGTTGATAGGAAACCTTAGCGTGACTTGAATAATTAAGAATGGTATTTGAGATTGTTAGAGAATAATATAAATCATATTATGAGTCATCACCTAATAGCTTAAGCTTTTAGTGAAATGGTCTTTTGACATGGTATTAGAGCCTTGATGACCCAACAGTCGTGAGTTCGAATCCTACCACCCTCACTTTCTCTTCTAATTAATTAAGCACAAAGTAGTGTGAACCTATGTAAGTTTCAAGCCCAAAGGACTTTCACTTGAGGGGGTGTGTTAGAGAATAATATGAATTATATTTTGAGGCCTCACTTAATAGCTTAAGCTTTTGGGTGAGATGATCCTTTGATAGAGCCTTAGAGTGCATGAGTTGTAATCCTGGTACTTTAAATTCTATTGCAGCATCAGGAAGTTGTTGTTTTTTCAATTTTTTATAGATTAGTTATAGTTTTGGAATCTGTATTTTTATGCTGGTGGTGCCTTTACTCATTGAGGCATAAGCCCTAAGTATAAGTTGTATGTATCATACCACTTTTACTAAGAAATTTTCTTTCACTTACCTCACTTCTGCATTTGCATATTGCACTTGAATGTTAAATGACATGCCTTTCCCCTCACTTGGTTTTCTGTCTGTTCTAATTGCTGATATGTTAGGTAGCTGCTGGTGGTACACATTCTGTGGTTCTCACACGTGAGGGGCATGTATGGACCTGGGGTCAGCCATGGCCTCCTGGAGACATGTACAGTTTCCTTGACTTAACTGTCAATTATGTTTTTACATATCCCTGTTTCATGTCCATGTTACATGCTTTGGTTGTGTACTTGTATTGGTAGCTTGCTGCATCCTTGTATTATTGCCTGTTGTACTCACTTGCATTGTTTTCTTATTTGCAGAAAGCAGATATCTGTCCCTGTGCGGGTACAAGGCCTTGAAAGAGTGAGGCTCATTGCTGTTGGGGCATTTCATAATTTAGCTCTTCAAGAAGATGGAACTTTATGGGCTTGGGGTAATAATGAATATGGACAGCTCGGAACTGGTGATACCCAGCCAAGATCTCAACCTATTTCTGTCCACGGACTATCTGGTCTCAATTTGGTTTGTATTACATTCTCAAGTCCCTTGCTGTTCGACGTCTTATTTTCTTCCATTTCATCAGGCATCATTACTCTTGCATGATACAGTTTCTCAAAAAATTTCATCTGAACATGTGACTTCTGAATTGTTATGATTTATTGATGAATGGGTTCCCAATTCAAGTTGTATCTTTTTCTTGAAAATTCTTCTACCCATATTACCTGAATAAATCCTTGGAAAATATGTCATTTTTTCTATAATTGGTTGTTTGAAACCTTTCTATGAAAAGGCTGCCACCATTCAGTCTGAGAGTGGTCCTATATATAGTAACTTGGCATGATCAAGGTATACTAGTTCAATTTAGTACTATGTAGTTGTCAAAGCTTATAAAAGGGGTGAAGATCTGTGTTAAAACCTCAGTGATGTGGAGAATCTGTGCTCTAAAGATATTGTACAACTTGTTAACTTCTGATAAAGGCTTATACTCTAAATTTTGGTTATTACTGTGTATTACGGTTGGTGACATAGTATGAGCTGTTTTCGTTACTGTTAAAGTACTAGACATTTTGTGCTTAATTGCAGTTTCATATCTGTAACAGCCTTAGTGTATGTCTAGGTTGATATTGCTGCTGGTGGATGGCATTCTACTGCATTAACTGATGATGGGGAGGTAAATATGTTCTTTGATGTCTAAAAGTTTCTTTATTTAAGTTGACTACATGCTTGTCATTGTTATGACTTGTTCAGGTCCAACATTGATATAGCATAGAAGTTCATTCTGTTTTACATTTACATCTTGATCTTATGTTTTATCATTTATTAGATTCTATTATTATTTGTATTAATTTTTTTATACAGCTGCATTAGAATTCAAGTGGCAGAACTTTCCTAGCTTAGGATCAGAAAATCCACATGTATCAATCCTTGAAAAGCTTGTGTCTTAGGCTAAAGAGTTGGCTTTTAGCTGGCTTTCAGGCCTTATTCCCCCTTCTCTTATCTGACTTTTTTTCCTGATGCTTGAATTGGATTTTGCTGATTAGAAACTGTAGACACATTCTTCCTCTTATTATGGGAACTGTCTCCATCAACAATATGCTCTGTGAATGATGTTCCGGTTGACATGACGTATGGAAAATGACTTTTGACTTCCAGTCATAATTCATAAATAGTTTATCACAAAAATGATTTAAGTTAGAAGTATGTTTGGCAACTCAAAGCAACTTTTTCGATGAAGTGAGGTGGTATGAGTTAGAATCAATAAGTTAGAAGTTCAAAAATTTAACTTTTGATTAAAACATAATTTTGAAACTTTTTGATGAAAGTCAAAACTTACTTCTTACCAAACATATTTATGACTTTTTTTTAAGTCAAAAGTTAAAAAATAACAAATTAATTTGCAAAAGTCATACCATAAAACCTAAATCTAGTGTCCTTGTAATTTTGAATTGAAGGCAAATCAGGTGTTACCTTCTGCATTGCATATGCTACATATGTTACCCAATCTGGTTTTCTTTGTCTTCGTGATTTGAGTTGAAAATAATTTTTTACACAATACCTGTGCCTTCTATTCCAGGTGTATGGTTGGGGAAGAGGTGAACATGGAAGACTTGGATTTGGAGATAATGACAAGAGCAGTAAAATGGTTCCCCAAAAGGTTAATCTTTTAGCAGGGGAGGACATTGTTCAGGTATCATCAACGTATTGCCATATGCTTTTGGAACTCTGGGAAGTTCTATTTTACACTTCATATATATTACAATCTTTTTGGCTTTGTCAACCCAAGCTTGCAATTTCTTTTGTTTGCCATTTGTGTATCAGAGGATTGTAAAATGCCATGTTCAACAGAATAATGCATGATACGAACGAAAATGCTCAATGATATCGCTGTCTGTGCCTACATTATACTAAAGGATGTTAGGTCTTTTTGGGAGGATGGTGAGCATTTGGTAAATTTTGCTTAAACTTTAAACGGAACTTGTCATTGAAGTTAATGGTGGAACCATTTCCACAAAGTAATGGCTGGATTACGTGCTCACACATTTGAGAGACCCACTTTCTCTGGAGCTTAGGTGCATTTGCCGAGCCATCTTAGTATATTGTTAATAGTAATACTATCATTATAAGGAATTAATCAAGTCCAACAGCAGGTTTTCCGTCAACCCTTGCTAAGAGCTGTAGGAACTCTGAGAACTGCTTGTCGACTACTTGCAAGCCTTACGTTTTTTTGATATGATTTCTAGCGATGTGCAATATTTGCAGCCCATATTTGAGTTTGTTGTGACAATTATCATTATTGGAATTGATCCTAAAAGAGATAAAAATTTTTTTAGCATGGTATGGTTAACCAGTCCAATATCCTCGCTTGGTTTAAGATTGAACTGATTTATCTGTAATCCAGGTATCTTGTGGTGGGACTCATTCAGTTGCATTGACACGTGATGGACGGATGTTTTCTGTAAGTATGATCATCTTTTTTTCTTCAAATGGCATGATATATGGGTGGAGTGCAGTTTTTGCTCCTTTTTGTGTTCACCTTTCACTGGCAGAATCGAAGAAGGCTGATTCCTCCATCTGCGTCCATGCATATTTATTCTTTTTCTGTCTTTATTTTCTTTGCCTGCATGCATCTACGTTTAAACACACTTAGGTTTAGATATTTACAGTTTTAATCACTTCCTCAGTGAATGACTTTTGTTTTAATATTGAATAGTAATATATATGCTGACCAGTTTTTCTGGCAGTTCGGCCGAGGTGACCATGGACGACTTGGATACGGGAGGAAGGTGACTACAGGTCAACCAATGGAAGTGCCAATAGACATCCCACCTCCTAAAAATCTTAGTGAAAATGGAGATGAGGGACACTGGATTGCTAAACTTGTTGCTTGCGGAGGTCGCCATACTTTGGCAATCGTGGAATGGCAGACTGATGAATCTTAATAGATATGACATGATGGTGTCTAAAAGTCTGATTGTTTATAAATAACTGGACACTGCAAGATCAACTCAGAGAACATCAACAAAGGATAATATTATAAATTACTGGTTGGTGATTGAAATGGTATCCACTTTTCCATTTTACTTGTGAGAAGAGTTATTCTATTTTTACGTCATGGTCTGATAACTGTCGGTTGGATATTTCTGCCCTTGTGATGCAGAAATCTCTAGGAGTCACCCACACATATGAACAAAAAATTAAACATCAACATAATACAGAAGAGAATTGCATGGTATAACCTAAAAAGAAGAGAGTAGGAACTTAAAAAAATCAAGTCCTACTATCTCAGGATGAACATAAATGATTGCCCCAGCAATACAAGTTAATATTTAATGTGAAAATTAAAAAACAAAGGGTTTTATTTTATTTAAATTTTTTTTTCCCTAGAAGAGAAAAAGAGCGACTCCTCCCTAAGATGGTTGGATTTGTATCTGCATGGAGCACTTAAAAGGGCTCATGAATATGTTCTACTGCCGCAACAGCAGTAGAACAATTTGTGTGGAAGGAGTTTCTGGTTTCTTTTGAATTCTTCTTCCCTGAAAAAATATTAATTATTAGAAATAGAAAAGAATCAGTGTCCAGAAATAACATTCAGGAGAAAGGACAAAACCAAGCAAAAGACAGAGAATTTTCACAAAGTTGTTATAAACGTCTATAAAAATTCAAACAGAGCAAAGAATTGGAAAAAATTGAAGGAATAAGTTTGATGGGAAGTCATACCAAAGCATCTTTCTTAGTTGTTACGCAGAGGAGAAAATTGATGTAGCAAAATAGTTGATTAGCTGAATTTCATGTATAAGCTGTCTATTTACATAATTAATAAATATGTATGTGCACAACGATGGGAATTTGTTTGCTATGAGCAAACGACGTCGTTTAATTTCTCCCACATACGTAAATGTCAAAAACTGTCTGAAAGTGGCAGGACATATTCTTTAATTTTATCTAAAACGATAACAATAATCAAACCCTTATGCCTCTCATCCTCTTTATTTGTTTGTAACTCCAAAAATTGCTGATCTTTGTTTTGTTTCTTCCTTTTTAATTATGTATTTATGTACTAGCATATATATATATATATATATGAGAGAGAGAGAGAGAGAGAATTAGCTCATAAAAGTCCCCTGCCCCTGCCTATACACAATTGTATGTCTCTCAATTTGATCCCTATGCTTTCAGAAATCGGTAACATCGTATAAATCCTTCAAAATGAAGGAAAAAGATGAAGAAGAAGTCAGTGATGGGTTGAGGCATGGCCAATTTTGGGGGTCTTAATTAATGAGCAATGCAAGATCAGTTGGTGTTATTTTATAGCACCGCAGAGTTTTTGATACATGGGATCCAATTGAAAAACATATTAACTGGGGCCCATTTGAGAATTGTTCTGATGGCCACGTCGGAAAGTAGTTGAGTTTGCATCTGATGTCAATTTCAAGTCCGGTTCCTACATGTAATAGAATTATTACTTAACTATGACTTCAAAAGTTTGATCATCATATCAGATGATATAATATTATCGGATAGAGTCGAAGTCCTTGTCCAATTTATACTCTACCTACTACGTACTTCCTCTTATGATAAGTTGTCGTAATTATTCCTTCATTTTCGCTGGATTGTGAAAAGAATTGTAAGCTAGGTAGCACTCTAATTTAATGTTTTATTGCATTTATGAGTGTTTGTTCAAAACAAAATCCTATCCTAATTACAGAAAATTTAATTCGTTTTAATCTAATTAATCATAAATTCTAACCACTATAAATACAAGGTACTTGCTTCAATATTATCCCTAACACGTACAAAGGGTAGTTCAATATTCACAGATAATATTCAGGCATAATTATGGGTACTGGTGCTGGTGCCGGTGGTTTTGTTGCTGGTGATGTTAAAAACTATCCCGGAACGGTCACTCGGCATGTGGCAATTGCCTGTGTACTTGGAGCCATGGGAGGCTTAAGTTTCGGATACGACCTTGGCATCTCGGGTGGTGTGACGTCTATGGCTTCCTTTTTGAAAAAGTTTTTCCCAGATGTTTATCGCAAGGAAGCATTAGATACATCCACCAATCAATATTGCAAGTATAATAGCATGCGGTTAACCTTGTTCACATCTTCGTTATACTTGGCTGCATTACTTGCTTCTTTTGGTGCTTCCGTTGTCACTAGAAAGTACGGTCGGAAAAGATCGATGCTCTTTGGTGGCATCATATTTTTCATCGGAGCTTGTCTCAACGCCGGTGCTGTTAACCTCTTCATGCTCATCATCGGTCGCCTTCTCTTAGGTGTTGGTGTTGGTTTTTCCAATCAGGTAATTTTAACCCTTTTTATATTATACTCTATAATTCTTCTGTCTTGAAAAGATTATTCCTTTTACTTTTTTATTAAGTCATTAATTATTATGTTATATTTTTTTAATTTTTTTATAACAAATTAAGAGAGTTGTTTTTTTTTCCTCCTGAAAATAGAGAAGAACATGTCAATGTACAGTTTCATGCATATCATGCATTCTATATACTACATTAATGGTAACTAATGTTTTTTTTTAAAAAAAATTATTATTATTTTGATCAGTCTGTGCCGCTCTATGTCTCCGAGATGTCTCCACACAAATACCGTGGTGCTTTCAACATTGTGTTCCAACTAGCAATCACAATCGGCATTTTCATCGCTAATCTTGTCAATTACTTGACACCTAAGATCGCCGGCAACCACGGATGGCGTTACAGCTTAGGAGGTGCGGCCGTTCCTGCTGCCCTCATCTTTTTTTCAGCACTTAAACTGGACGACACTCCTAACTCCTTGTTGGAGCAAGGCAAATCTGAAGAAGCTCGACAGGTACTCAGAAAGATACGTGGCCTTAGCGACAAGGAAATTGAGGCTGAGTTTCAAGATTTAGTGACGGCAAGTGAGGCAGCTAAGCAAGTGGAGCATCCCTGGAGGAATATCCGTAAGAGACAGTATCGGCCACAACTGAGCATGGCTATAGCTATTCCATTTTTCCAACAACTTACTGGGATGAATGTGGTCATGTTCTACGCTCCTGTCCTCCTCCAAAGTATTGGGTTTGGAAATAATGCTTCCCTCTTGTCCGCGGTTATCACCGGCGCTGTTAATATGCTTGCCACCGGTGTTTCTATCTACGGCAGTGATAAGTGTGGAAGAAGATCTCTGTTTCTTTCAGGAGGAGCTGTAATGTTTGTATTTCAGGTAATCAATCAAAATATTTCCTTTCAAATAACTATATGTTGCAGTTTGCTCGTTTATAACAACTACCTATTTGGAGATCTAATTAATGTAAATTCACGATACAATATGTTATGTGTTTATATAGGTTGTGCTAGCAGCTTTAATCGGATCGAAATTTGGAACATCTGGAGATGCGATTGAATTGCCGAAGTGGTATGCCAGCCTGGTTGTGGCATGCATCTGCTTATTTGTTTCGAGCTTTGCGTGGTCATGGGGACCATTGGGATGGCTAGTTCCAAGTGAAATATTTCCGCTAGAAATTCGGTCAGCCGGGCAAAGCATCACCGTAGCAGTGAACATGTTGTTCACTTTCTTGATTGCTCAGCTTTTCCTTGCAATGCTTTGCCACTTGAAATTCGGTTTGTTCATCTTCTTTGCAATCTTTGTGGGAATCATGAGTGCCTTCGTCTTTTTCTTTTTGCCTGAGACGATGAACATCCCCATCGAAGAGATGTCTAAAGTGTGGAAGCAACATCCGTATTGGAGGAGATTCATGCCCGAAGATGATGATCACCGATCTTCAGACCTCACGGTCTAGGAATATTATCTTCTAATTAGTTTGTTTCCTTGCTTTTCTTTCTAGCACTTTTATTTTATTGTATTAACATAAGCTCTTCTATGGACTTCTCAAGAAGATGCAATTTGATTATATATATAAGTTCATTTGTTAATGAGTTCAGTATTCAACATTGTACGTACTATCGTCCAATTCTTTTTCTTGGAGTAATTGCTGTTTAAAATTTTATAGCAATTTTGTATGCTTGTCCCCTGAAATGAGATTGCCTACGTGAACGAAATGTGCAGATTTGGTTGTCACAGAAATATTTTCCTCAAGGTTTCTACCTCTTATGTTTGATAAACATAGTTTTTGAAAGATAATATATCTGATGCCAATTAATTAGGCTATGTTGGAATGACTCTCTCATGCTTTCCGGTGGTGTCTAAAATTCTGATTAAGGATAACTAGACGATGAAAGACAGCTTAATTAGAGAACATTAATTTAGAGAATAGTTAATAGATTAGTAGATAGATGGTGAGTCGTGATTCACTTCTCCATTTTAATTTTTATGTTATTGTCCATGGTTTTTAACTGTTCTGATAGCTATCCATTGAATATTATTGTCCTTTGTACGTACCGCTGCTGCTAAAGTTGTCAATCTAGCTTTCTGCTAGCAAAGACGAGATACCACTGTTAGTCTGACTTCAATTCCTCGGCAAGTAAAATGTTTCGTGACATTTTCTTCCCTTCATCATTCTACTTTCGAATCTAACCAGCTGCTGTGATTCTAGATGGGGCTGTCACGGCGCTGCTTGATGTTGTAGGGTTCTTGGTAAGGTATTTTGTTGAAGTTTGAATTTGGACTTCGAGTACTAGTAGGTAGCACTCCTTGTACTAATGAGAATGAATCGTGAGATGCAATACTATGGCTTTCCAGTACCATCTATCTGGCAATCGTCTTCTGTTCCTTCAGGTTGATGAAATTGACTCTTCATTCAATAGATAGAAATATAGAATGGAATTATCATCTCCACTTTCATAAAATCCAGTTCAGTACAGAGTTACTGGCTTTCTCTTCCAAGGATGCAGCTTTCATATGCGCCAGGACTGAGAATTTTAGATACTGTATATTCTTTACAGGCTACCAGATGGAAAATATTGCCAAATAATCAATATTGAGGGCAGATTGGTGCTATTATGAATGATATTTTTATCTGGGGGATAGAGATTTGAATGTAGGAGAAGGTAGCCTTCCTCAGATACTTGCTTCCTCACTTGTATGCGAGGTTATTATAATACCAAGATAATTACCCTCAAATTGCTCCTAACTAGGTGATTTATGTCATTGCTCAAATATTATATTGCTGAAACATCAAAGGCCAAGACAAAAGAGGTCAACCTTTACAGACAAAATATAATTAAACAAGTGTTACAAGTTGAAGATTCCTATTACAGGAATTTTTTTGATGAGCATTAACTATATAAAATCATCTAACCGTACTATCTGTTTTTGACAAATCGATTATTTAATGTTTGGGTATAATTTTAGACCAAACATGAAAATTAACATGCCCTTAGTATTTAATCCTAATCTTCCTATTAACCAGTTATCATCAGACAAAGTACCCCCATATAAAGCTATCTGGGTTTTTTTTCTCTATTATCTCTGACGTCTTCTACCTGCCGGATTCTGATTTTTGGCAAAAATGAGTCTGCTAGCATCCCAGGTATGATCATAAACTCAGTTAACTATTCTAGTGTCATCATGCTTAGCTTTCATATCTTCTTTTAACTTATAACCAGGGGTTCACCAAGTCTCTTGCCATCACAATTCTTTCGGAAGTTGGAGATAGGACTTTCTGTGTTGCCGCTGTAAGTATACCAGTCACCAGTCGTTTATAGTTTTTGTAGTTTATAATTCCTATTATAGGTACATCTGAGATTTTTTTATCCATCTGATTATGTTTCAGATCTCTTAGTGTTACACACAGTGTGTAGATTAGCTAATTGTCTAAGAGTATGGTAAATCAAAAGTTTCACTGGACAGGGAAATTTCTTATATTTTTCAGAAGGTTCAGTGGACAGGAAATTTTCTTGTATTTTTTAAGCAATCATACTATAGCAGATTCTTGATTGTATTTCTTTCTTTTTTTTTTAGACATTCTTTAAAAACCAAGTTGTGGAACATGAATGATAAAAATGTTTAGCTGACCCCACAGTTCTTCTGTATTATAAGATCTTGGCAATGCGCTACCCCAGGAATAGTGTCTTGCTAGGCTGCCTGTTTTCTGTGATTGTAAGAATTTCATCTTCTTCCATGCTCTTTCCTTTATATTTCGCGTGTTAAATCTGAATATATTGGTATTTATTTTTGTGTCTGTATATTGTTATTGAATAATAGGTGATGACTGTTGTATCCGCTTTCGTTGGGTGGGCTGCTCCAAATCTGGTAAGGAATAAAATGCATCTCAAGATGCTACGTAGATGTAGTTTGCGTTCGGCACTAGAGGAAATCGTTGAAGCAGTTTTGTGCGCGTTAACAAAAAATGCACCTCCCCTTCTAATGGAAGTTATGGAACTGCAGATTTTAGTCATTTGATTGTGAAATCTGCTGCAGGTTTCCAGGAAATGGGCGCATCATATCACAACCTTGCTCTTCTTTTTCTTCGGACTCCGTTCTCTTTGGGAAGGATTCACAGAAGATGATGAGTAATTCTCTATTTCCCAAGCTCTTAATCATTTCACAACCAATAAATCCTAACCTTGCTTTCATTCGAGTGATAACGAAGAGTTGGCTGAGGTTGAAAAGGAACTGGTTAGCTAATGTTTTCCATTCTTCTTGGGCTCGTTTCTTTTGTTTCTTTTTGAGCTTATATTTACATTTGGTGTTTGATTCTCTTTGATTACGTGAATGAGTTAGGAAAATGACTTGAAAGGCAGTGCCGGAAAATCCAAAGTAGCTTCCAAGGTGGGTTCAGTATTGTTACACTAAGCACCATCTGTCTGCCGTATGATGTTATTTTAACCACCTCTCAATCATTTGCAGAGAGATAAGAATTTGAAGAGGCAACAGAAGCCATTTCTCACACATTTCTTCTCACCTACTTTTTTGAAGGTTGGTTTGTTATTCTCCAAGCAGAGATATCTACCATTCTTCCTGCTGTGTACTGCAATGGATGTTTATTATTATACTGTTCAGACTAATCAACAGAAACAAAGCATTTTACAGGTTCATTATTACAGGTGAAAAGAAAAAAGAGTAAAGACACAACTGAATTTTTTTTTTTTTTTTTTTTGGTACTTGAAAAACAGGCCTTTTCCCTTACATTTTTTGGTGAATGGGGTGACAAAAGTCAGGTAAAATGCCATCGTTATACCATCTACAAGTTCCTGTTCCATAATTATCCGTAATGAATCGTAAAAACCGTATGAAACTGTTTGCAGCTTGCAACAATTAGTTTGGCAGCTGATGAGGACACTTTGGCTGTGGTTCTTGGTGGAATTCTGTATGTTATTGTTAATTTTTGAGGAAATTAGTTCTAGTTTAAACAATATGATGAAATTGAGCATCTCCAGCTCTAGTAACATTTGATGATATTTACTTGTCACTGTTTATTGGCATATCGATAGCTAATGAGCCTGTCTTTGTGTCAGCGCACAAGCACTCTGTACAGTTGCAGCCGTTCTCGGTGGGAGGAGTTTGGCATCAAGAATATCTGAAAAAATGGTAACTGGATTTTGTCATGATACCTTCTTAAGATTTTGCCTTTTGCAGGGTCCAATTCTTTGGGCCCGGATTGGTATCACGTAGACACTGATGTTACATATAAACTGGCTGCAGGTCAAAATTTCTGGAGGGTTCCTCTTTCTGATTTTTGGTGTTCAATCTCTTTTTCGGCCAGCTCTTTGATGATCTTTTTTTCCGAGTTTTTGTAACCCTTATTTTCCCGAGAGATTTACTTATAAGCTAGAGTTCAGGAGAGTAGTCGCATTTTTACACCAGAAGAACTGTACAAGTAAATTCTAAATGTCGAAAGCTTGCCCAGGTGGCTAAACCAATTGTTTTCATGTGTGGTAAACGAAAGCTATAAAAAAACATGGCTCAAATACAAGCATGTAATAGCCAATAAACGTACAGGTTCTGCAAATTCGATGCACTTTAAACAGAGACATGCAAGAACTTCTATGTTAATGTGCCAGTAGGAGTGATAGACGCCTGTGGATCGTTGCCCACCGGAATGTCACCAGCAGAATCACTGCCACAACTACGGTAATCTGGTCCATATCTGCTCTTGTAAACCCCAGCATGGAGAACCACCACATACAGGAACTGACTTAGGAGTGATACTATGATCATTGCTTCCAAAGTTTTCTGCATTCAGGTCACCAGTTATTAAGATAGTGACAAGGTAGCAATACCGAAGTGCTTTCTAGTCCTCCGCTTATCCAAAAGCTCAGAATTTTTTTTTCCTTTGGATCGGTAGAATGGCTAACAGAAACTAACCAATTTGACGTTCTTACCAATCTTTTTCCTCTATGCCCTCCTAATATGATTTGCTTGCATTCAAATCTAGAACAAGAAAACCAGATTAGATAGAGAGCATGATCATATTCAATGGATCAATGGTTAAGAACAAAAGAGGATACAGATTCTTGGATGCATTATAATTTCTATATGCAGTTCCTTAACTTTCTTTCTTTCAACTTCTGCAGGATTCATCATCAATAATTTTGTTCCCTATCTCCGTCCCAAGGCTAAATCGAAGTAAAAAAGTAAATTTCATACCAAAATGTGAACCCAATTTCATAATATATATATAAAACCCTCTAAGGATAGTATTAGTAGGCTAGTAGCCCTAAAGAAATCCCCATTCCACTATCCTCAGCACTACAAAGGTCTCAATGATTTGCAAAGGAAATTAGAGATTTTATTTTTGAGGTCAAATATAATGGTACTTCAGAAGAGCAATATTCAAGTTCAAGCTTGGCCGGAGAGAGGCAGAGATAACAGAACATACCCGAAAGCAAGGGCAGTAATAGCCCAAGATGTGACTGCCAAAGCACTTGCACTTGCTAAACTATCATTTCTCCATGCACGAAGATGAACAAGCCCAACAAGCATTGAACTAGCACCAATTACCCCACCCATCAGTGCACATATCAACATGAATCCTGTTGCTGGATTCCCACCCAAATCTGAAGATATCAAAAGTGTCAGAGCCAAACTAGTACTAATAGGCATCTCAAAAGGAAACCAACTCCAGATTAAAGACCAAGATTACTTACGTGGGTGATTTTGTTCACCATCGATGTATTTGTCAACAGACCAACCTGCTAGCCCAAGTACAATAAGATGAACTACCAAGTTCACTGCTAAAAGTGGACCGATTAAATCTTTACTATCCCTTCCAACTGCCATTATCAAGCGCACTCAAGACTCCAAGCTTTTACTTAAATCCAAAAGAAACTCTCTTCAGAGAGCGAATCACAGAAAGAGAATGGCTTATGGGGTTTTGTTTAACGTGGGTGAAAAACAGGTTAGGGTTAACGTGGGAACCTGACCTCACGGGTGTGTGTTTGTGGAAAGGTGCGGGTCTTAAACGTGGAGGGACATAGGGACAAAAAGTTTGTTGAGGCTCAGTTTAACAAGCAAAGATTAGTTCCAGTTTTATCTTCTTCCTTCTGGAAACTGCAACTTTTTAAAAGAGATTCGTATTGGTTTATGTTCTAGTGATATTCTAGGACTAGAAGGGGTCCGAACGTACTAGGCACTTGTTAGGGACCCTCAAAAAAAATTATCAAAACAGAAATTCCACTACCAAAGAAAATCAAAAGAAATGAAGTGACACGTATGAGACATGCACAAGGCCACAGTCACCAGCAGCTCATGTCACAGGGGACCAGTATCGAAGCCAACTCTTCTGTCCTAGCCTGCTCTTTTTGAAATTTGAAGTTCATTTTTCAGTCCTTTCCTTTTACCAATTCACAACATAAACAAGAATGGTAGGTTTTGGGTTGTCTCAGCATCTAAAAGAATGCATAGCTACTGTTATATGATCTGACAGTCGTTATAAATTTTGAGTTAAGAATTGCAGCTATGCAATGCATAAAATCAAACTTCGACCAAAAAAAAAAAGGTAAAATCCTGGTGTTGAAAAAACACCAGAAACAAGTGCATAGATGGTTAATTTCCAGTTTCCACAAACTTCATTTCATGGCCACCTGATCATGCTGACTTTAAGAAATTCCACTATATTGAAGCAAATTCTATCATCTTCAAATAGACCACAAAAAAACACCTACACATTGCCAAAAAAGATGTTTATTACAAAAGTTTATTCTATATACATATACATCTATCTGTCCACTGTTTTTCCAACTAAACCACTCAAAGACATTCTATATATACATAGTGATGTTTTGCATCCTTTGTTTTCACAACTATATATAGTCTTCTGGGACTACTGTTTCTAGCGGAAGCGGAGGTTCAACCAAGAAAAGTAAAGAGCTTAAAAAGAGAATGAAGATGGTGAATATAATGAGTGATTTACAAGGATCTGCATGTCTTTTAATAAGTGAAATGCCTTCATCTTGGCCACTTCTTGAAGATGCATCATCCAATTGTAGAGTTGCACATGTGAAAAAGCCATAAACTATGCCTGTCAAAACTGCTCCCAAATGGGTCCTACAGGAGGTAACAAGTAAAAAGAGCTTAACTACTGATGTAGGAGAGTGCAAGAAAACCAGTTTATCCTTATTGTTCTGCCCATAATGTTTCTCTTCAATCTTTCTCAAGTCCCGATAACTTTATTTTTATCTGATTGTTGGTCAAGAGAAATATCTTTTAGGAATTATGTAGCCAGCTTTCAAATATCAGTTAGCTTACCAGTCATCAATTGGACCAAAATGGCTCAATATGAAGCTAACAGCAGTAGTGATTACTGCCTTCTGGAACATACGATCAAAAGCATCCTTTGATATTACATCTTTATTTTGATTCTGATAAATGAGCCAAGCTCCAATTATGGAAAACACTGGTCCCTGCATGAATATCATAGGTTAAATGGCCAACATATTTCTTGCATATTGACATATATGTAAAGAAATGAGGAGGTGAAAATGCTGCTTACTGTCCCACCAACAGTTGGCTCTGGAGTGTGAAGAAAGCTTGCCAAGTTGCCTGAAATTCCTCCAAGTATGTATATCAGGAAAAATGTAAAGGAACCATAACCTCTGCAAACTTCAGGCCCAAAGGTAAGTAGTGACCAACATCCAAGAGCCACATGAAAAGCTCCAGAGTGCTGCATGTCCGGATAAGTATTAGACACTACATTTTTGCAATGTCAAAAGCAAATATACAACAGTTATGTAAAACTCAAAACTGATAAACTATTTCCTGTATGGTATAAATTGTGAGTTTACTTTATTACAGAATCTATGACATCAATATGTCGTCAGTAAGGTTGATAAAGTTTTGCAATGACAAATGCATAATTCAAATGGATCTAAGTTGCTATGGATAAAATTGCCTCTCCTAACAAACAAGATCGTAGCTGCTAATTTCAACAAATGATTTTGCCTTGTTTATCAAGAGAGATGGAAAAACAGTAACAGAATGGGAACACGAACCCAGTTGTCAATCTTGTACCAGAAACATGGGTGTCACTAGCCTCCACCATTCCCCAACAAAGATCAAATCGTTTATCTTTGCCCCATATAATAATGGGATTGAAAAGAGCTCAAATTCAGAATTCCTCACCGGACTAGCTATTTCGAACAGAAAAACCGCAATATTTATGGAAACCAATGTATTTCTGCATTCAAAATTGGATAGGTTACAGTATCAGCTAGCATGCCATGAAATAGCAGCTATGAAACTTTTTTGGCGAAAAGGAAGACATCATGGCATGAAAGGATGAAACTAAGAGTTCATTAAGACAGGAAATGACTTACATTAAGTAGAGATCAGAGGTTTCATCATTTTGGTCTAAAGCTTCAGACCTCCTCAAACCATTTTCAACACTCTTATTCCTCAGCTTCCTGAAAGTTTTTAGTTTCTCTTCATCGTCTCCTCTAGATTCTTTACTGACTGAGATTGGTTTTGCTACTGGATTTTCCTCGGTAGTTTCATGATCAAAAGTTGGTGATGCATTATTCTCTAAGTTTGCATCTAAAGGCATACAGAAAATTTTAATCAATTATTTTCAGCAGGAAAGTACAGCTAAGAAAAAGGTCATAAAATGATCTAGAACTAAAAGAAGTAACAAAAATAGTATCTATCAGTTGTCATATACACAACAATTAGGCAGTTGGCCTTTGTTGCTACTGCTCAACAGTACAGAATGTGCCCAATTACGATGCATTGAAAAAATGGACAGCGTTGTTAGAAAATGAATCAAGCAAGAAAATAAAACAGAAAGACTAAACAATCAAACAACACAAGATTTCCGTGGTTCAGCAATTGTGCCTTGACTTGAAAAGTGTAGCATGCATGACTCTGCATAGCGTGTTAAACTACAGGCCACATCCACATCAATCTCCACAACTTAACAAGTGTAGAGTGGATCATTGACTTGAAAATTAATGAGCTGACTTGAAAGCTAAAATATAAAATAGGAGTGACCAAAAACTACTGTTACTTGAAACAATAAATGAATCTTCAACTAATTCTGGGCTGGAAAGGAAACAGAAAGTTTAAAAGTTCCAGCAGGCTGCTTACTGGTAAATGTTTATTGAAACAATTCTATACTTTTGATGCGTGGTCCTGACTCTTATGTAAAAGGAGATTCATGGTTTATGAATGGCAAGATGTTGTAGTCTTTCCTCATATTGATGCTATATTCCTAGCATTACATGCCCATATGCACACATAAATGTTCTAGTCCTAGAATCACTCTACTAATCAAAAGCAACTAACATAAGTATCCGGGACATGATATCTTACCTTTATCAAGCTTGTCAAGATAAGCATTTAGATATTCCAGCTCCTCCTTTACATTGATTTTCACACTTTCGTCTGCTAATTCTGTCCTCTTGTTACAAGAATTTGAAGAGGGCTGACTTACATCATCTCGGAGTTTTCCAAAGTAAGAATCTAATAATTTCAGTTGCTTCTCACTAGTACCAGACTTCGATGCATGCCACAACACAAAGAGATTTTCTCCAATTGTTCTGTGGATTTTACGCATGTAGGGTACGTCAATCATGTTCTGAAATTTCAAAAGACCTCGGCTGAGAATCGTTCCTTTCGAAGCATTCATCCCTCCTCTAGTCATAACTTTCACCGAAACATCAGCAGTAGTATATAACGCCGGCCAATTCCTTCTCACATAACTTGAAATTGAGACATAACTTGAAATTGAGAGGGAACTGCCCCCTTTGCAGAAGCAGAACAGGCACAAATAAGACCTCTGTCATGTTGCCTTACCGCTCTTGGAGTAGTGAAAGTCTGATCTTTAGAGGGCATTTTGTAGCATACTGGAACTACAGCCATTTAAACCTGACAAATCAATGGAACAAAATCGGATCAGCAACTAGAACCCTAGAATAGAAAAGAACAAAGCATTGTCTGTTGAATTACGAATGTCCTTAGAAATCTATTCTAAACAGCTAGTAATATTTTCAGTCTATCAAAATACATGAAAACGGCAGAAATTCTACTCTTTAAACGAGTCAATCAATTATATTTTCTTTAAACGATGCTTTTAAGCCACAACAAGTGCTCAACATCCTCTAAAGTGCTTTCTTTGGGCAGTGACCAGTTCTCTGTTAGAGCAAATTGATAAATCAGATGTCTAATGCAATAAATTCAACTTTTTGGGAAGTCCCGGAGTATTTGAATATCTATCACAAACAGAAATTCTTCTTCCTTTTAAGAATCCCAGCAATTGCATTTTCATGTCCCAAATCATGACTAGTAGGGTTTGGATGTCCCAAGCCTAAAATAAAATCGAACATGAGTATGAACTAAAGTTCTACGGTGCAACTATTATCAATAGAAAAGAAGAAAAGGGAAAAGGAATTTCTGGGTTCTTTCTTCTTCTTCCTCTTGCTTATCTCTCAGTTCATTCAAGTTATTAGAAAGCATTTATTCGCAAACTTCAAAAAGAATTAGAGAAACAAATACTCGCAGAAATCAAAACAGCAAAACCAGAAAAGGGAGAGCAAAATAACAAGAAACAATTAGAGTTACCATAAACGGATGGCAGTTAATGCACTGCTATGAAAGAAAGAGAGAGTATGGCCTGAAGCCACAGAAACTTTCGAACTAAGAAGTGTCGCCGAGATATTTTAACGATGCAATTTCTTAGTACTTGCATTATCATGGCAACTTGCAAGAAACTTGGAACTGAAACTGAGAGGATCAGCAGTTATCTAGTTATTCCTCTCTTATCTTTGTTGAACCATTTAATTGCTGCCGCGTGTGCCTGAAGCAAATTTCCGCCTTATTTTGGCATTGTATTTGCCCCACCAAGGATTTTCATGGGCCCACGAAATTTTGGTTAACGGTATAAATCTAAAGAGCGCTGCTAACCAGCCAGCTCTGCCTGCTCTCTTGGCAACCACAAGAGATCGTGGATCAATTATTAACAAATATTAGTAATTAAACCCACTTATATTTCACATAAAATGGTTAAAATTAGCCCCAATTATTAACAAAATATTAGTAATTAAACCCACTCATATTTCATATAAAATGTTTAAAATTAGCCCCAGTTATTAAAAAAATATTTGATATTAAATCGGCTTATAATTCATATAAAATGGTTAAAATTAGCCCAATAATAAAGACAATATTAGTAATTAAATCCTCTTATAATTCATATAAGTATTAATAATTAAACCACGCCAAAAATTAAATAGTAATTCGTCCCATTGATCTGGCTCTTTTGCATGGAAGCAAACTCGTGTATTTCGCATGTTTATTCTTTTAATATGTTAAAAAAAAATTAATAAAATAAGGTACGAGTTTTAATAATTATAAAGTTTTTTAATGATTTTATAATAAAAAAAAAATGACTGTCTATGTTCTGTAGTCCAAAAAAACTGATGAATTTTCCATGAAAAAAAATGAAAACAAAATTTCCAATAAAAAGATAATGATGAACTGATAATAAAATTAGTAGGTAAAAATATTTCTTGTCCGGTTGAAGTAGATTGCTGACATATCAAAAAGCGAATTTTATCATTAATTTATGTGGTAGAAACAACAAACAGGAATGGAACCCGTTGTTGTTGGTGTCACAAGACAAGGCTCCACCATCCTCGACCAGGACGTATCATTTATCTTTCGGCCATTTGATAATGGGAGTGAAAAGAGCTCGAATTTCAGAATTCTTTGCTGGACCGGCTATTTCGAACAGAAAAACTGCAACTAATGTTCGTGATAGCCAATGTACTTCTACATCAAAATCAACCAAGCCTTGAAATAGCTACTATTAAAAATGAGTATAGCAAAAGAAAATGAAACCATGCTGTGACAGAAGCAATAACTCCTTAAGAACAGGATACGACTTGCCCTAAATCAGAGGTTTCATGCTTTGGGTGTGAGTCTTGAGGAATGAGTGTAAGATATCAGAAATCAGTACAATGCCCATGTTGGCAAATCCAAAAAGCAAATTTTCTCAGTGCTGACGGAGAGGATACTAAATAATAAGACTACAGGATGGAAAGAGAAATTTCTTTTACGAGTCCGGGAAGTGTTGATCAAATCGAGAAATTTTATTATACGTAAAGAGTAGCTAGTTATATGTATAATAGTTACTTGTTGGGTTCACTTTTAAGAGAGAGATAGACACAAACAGAGAGAGAGAGAGAAAATAAAAAAATTTCAATGGACGTGGAAATCTTCTTATCACTTTTGGTGGATATGGATGTAATTTTTTTTTCTTTTTTGTCTCTCACTCTTCTAAAAGTGAACTCGAGGAATAAGCTACTGTACGTATCACTTAGTTACTTCTTTTGTATTATAAAATTTCTCAATCAAATCTATTGCACGGTTTATTACGAGTTATGCCATGAGTGTTGAATTAGTAAGCTGCTTTCGGTAAACCCTAGTTTTTATTTTTTGTCATCTATTGGTTTTTAACGACGGTTTACAAACCATCGTAGATTAGCTACCATTAAAAGATTTTTAACGACGGTTTTTATTAAACCATTGCTAAAAATCCTTGATTTTTAGATTTAGCGAGAGTTTTATCTAAACCGTCGCTAATTTTAGAAAAATAGGTTTTTAACTACAATTTTATTTAAATCGTCGCTAAAAACATTCTTTTTTGATGAATTTAGCCACGATTTTTAACAAACCGTCGCTAAAATCCTTAAGCTAAAATACATGAACTTATACGATTTTAGTGATGATTTTTTTAAAACCGTCATTAAACATTGATATTAGCGATGATTTTATTAAAGCTGTCACTAATTTGTTACTTGTTGGGAGAAACAAAAATTTCAAATGGAAATTAAATTTTAACGACGGTTTTAGCGATGGACCAAAACCTTCGCTAAAACTTTAAATCCTAAATAGCTACTTGTCCAGAAAATTTTCTCTATTTCTTCTTCTTCTCTTCTTCTTTTTCTTCTTTTCCAGCATTCGAACCTTCACCATTTCCCTTCCATTCACGACAACAACTCCCTCCAAACTCCCCTTCTCTCTTCTTTTCTTCTTCCCCTTCATCTCTTTCCTTTTCCTCAATTTTTTTCCTCACCTTTCCTTCTCCTCCTCCCTTCCCTCCTCTTTTTCATGAATAGTGTAGTAGCAACAACAACTCCTTCTCCTCTTCACCGTGAGTTGGCGACAACTCCTCCTACTCTCCTCCTCCATTTGTATAATTAGTAACTCTTTTTTTTTTTTTTGGCCATCTATTTAAATTATTTGATATTTATTGTTTTATTATTAATTAATTAATTAATTGTTAGTTGGTTTAATTTTTTGTGTTCTCAAAGTTAATTTGTTAGTTATTAATTAAATTAATTATTTGTTAAAAATTTAATTAAGCATTGGTTTGTTTAATTATGTGTTAATTAATTGATTTAATTGTTTGTTTAATTATGTGTTAATTAATTGATTTAATTGTTAATTAAATTAAGTTTATTTGTTGGTTATTATATAATTAAATTTTTTAAAAAATTTAATAGGTACTAATTTAATTAATTATGTATTAATTAAGTGATTTAGTTTTTAATTAAATTAATTAAATTTGTGATTAATTAAATTATTTAATTGTTTCCAAAAAATATTTATTTGATAGTTTAATTAAATAGGTGTTAATTAAGTTTTATATTTTTTAAATTAAGTCAATTAGTTGTTAATTTAACTATTTAAATATTGTTTAAAAATATTAAGTAGGTGTTAGTTTAATCAATTTGGTATTTAATTAAAATTTTTAGTTGCTAAAATAAGTAAATTAGTTATTAATTAAATTTTGTTTAAAATATTTAATTACATGTTAGCTTAATCAAATTGGTATTCAATTAAGTTTTTTTAGTTGTTAAAATAAGCAAATTAGTTGTTAATTAAATTAACTAAATTTTATTTAAAATATTTAATTATGTGTTAGTTTAATTAATTTGATAGTTGATTAAGTTTTTTTAGTTGTTAAAATAAGTAAATTAGTGGTTATTTAAATTAAATAAATTTTATTTAGAATTTTTAATTACGTGTTAGTTTAATTAATTTGGTCTTTAATTAAGTTTTTTAGTTGTTAAAATAAGTAAATTAGTTGTTAATTAAATTAACTAAATTTTTTTTAAAATGTTTAATTATGTTTTAGCTTAATTAATTTGGTTGTTAATTAAGTTTTTTATTTGTTAAAATAATTAAAATAATTAAATTTTATTTAAGATATTTAATTAAGTGTTAGTTTAACGAATTCGGTATTTCATTAAGTTTTTTAGCTACTAAATAAGTAAATTAGTTGTTAATTAAATTAAATCAATTTTGTTTAAAATTTTTAATTATGTGTTAGTTTAATTAATTTGGTAGTTAATTAAGTTTTTTAGTTGTTAAAATAAGTAAATTAGTTGTCAAAATAATTGTGAATTTGGATTGTTCATGGATCACTACGGAAAAAATAGTTTTTTGGTGACGAGTACTAATAACCATCGTTAAAACCATGAAATAGTGATCTGTTTTAATCAATGCTGCCACTATTGGGTATTTAGCGACGGTTAGCAATTGTTGTTAATTTGATCAACTTAGATCGTTTTTAGCGTTGGTTTTAAACAAATCATTGCTAAAAATATAAATATTTTTGGAATTAGCTAGGGTTTAACTAAACTCTCACTAATTCCTTAAAAAAATATATGGTTTTGGTGATGATGTGTTATAAGCCATCGCCGAAAGCCCTTTATTACGAGTGGTTTTAGCGACGGTTAATTAAAACCATTGCTAAATCAATTAATATGAGAATCCATGGGGAAAAAAAAAGGCATTTAGCGATAGGTTTTTTGGTGAAATCCATCACTATACACAAAAATTAGCAATAGTAAATCGGTGACGATTTATGAAACACTAATTTAATATCATTAGAGGAAAATGGAAAATTTTGGATAAAAAAAGCTTTTAGCGACGGTTTAAAACCATCACTAAAACTAAAATCCCTAAAACCTACCGCTCGAAAATTTTTCCCCATTTCTTCTCTTTTTTCGTTCCTCTTCTTTTTCCAACGACTACTGACTCCACTTCCTTCCCCATTTCCCCTCCAATCACAATTGTAACTCCCTCCAAATCCCTAATTTTCTCTTCTTTTCCTCTTCCCATCTCTCTCTTCCCTTTTCCTCCTCCCTTTTCTTCTTTTTCCTATCCGTCCTTCCTCCTCTTCCCTTCCCTCCTCATCTCCGGTCATTGCGCGGTGGCAACGGCTCCTCCACCTTTTCACCATGAGTTAATAGCAACTTCTAGCTCCTACTCCTCCATTTGTGTGATTGGTAACTAATTAAGCTTTTTCCCATTTATTTCATTAATTTTATATTTTTAAAAAATAATTATTAGTTAATTATTAGTTAGTTTAATTTAGTTTGTTTTTATAGTTAATATGTCAGTTGTTAATTAAATTAATTATGTGTTAAAAAATTAATTAAGTGTTAGTTTATTTATTTATGTGTTAATTACTATTGTTAAAGTTTTTAATTAAATTAAGTATATTTTTTGTTTAATTATTTATTTGATAATTGTTAGTTAGTTTAATTTAGTTTATTTTTCTCGTTAATTTGTTGGTTGTTAGTTAAATTAATTAATTATTTAAAAATTAATTAAGAGTTAGTTTATTTAATAATGTGTTAATCGGTATTGTTAAAATTGTTAATTATATTAAGATTATTTGTTGGTAATTAAATAATTTAATTTTTTCTAAAAATTTAATAAGTGTTAGTTTAATTATTTATGCATTAATTAAGTGATTTACTAGTTAATTATATTAATTTTATTTGTGGTTAATAAAATTATTTAATTCTTTTTTAAAATTTAATTGTTTGTTAGTTTGATTAAATAGGTGTTAATTAAGTTTTGTATATGTTAAATTACTTCAACTACTAGTTAATTAAATTATTTAAATATTTTTTAAAAATATTAGGTTTTTTTTAGTTTAATTAATTTGGTAGTTAATTAAGTTTTTTTTTAAATAAATAAATTATTTGTTAATTAAATTTTGTTAAAAATATTTAATTACATGTTAGTTTAAACAATTTGGTAGTTAATTAACTTTTTCTATTCTTAAAATAAGTAAATTAGTTATCAATTAAATTTTGTTAAAAATATTTAATTACGTGTCGGCTTAAACAATTTAGTATTTAATTAAATTTTTTATTTGTTAAAACAAGCAAATTAGTTGTTAATTAAATTAATTAAATTTAGTCTAAAATCTACAATTATGTTTTAGTTTAATTAATTTAGTAGTTAACTAAGTTTTTTATTTGTTAAAATAATTAATTAATTGTTAATTAAATTTAGTTTAAAATTAACAAATAATTGTTAGTTTAATTAATTTAGTAGTTAATTAAGTTTTTTATTAGTTAAAATAAGTAAATTAGCTGTTAATAAGATTAATTAAATTTAGTTTAAAAATAACATATATGTGTTAGTTTAAGTATTTTGGTAATTGGTTAAGTTTTTATGTTGTTCAAATAAGTAAATTAGTTGTTAATTAAATTAATTAAATTTAGTTTAAAATCTTTAATTACATGTTAGTTTAATTAATTTAGTAGTTAATTAAGTTTTTAATTTGTTGCTAAGTAAATTAGTCATTAATTAAATTATTAAATTTAGTTTAAAATCTATAATCATCTATTAGTTTAATTAATTTAGTAGTTAATTAAGTTTTTAATTAGTTAAAATAAGTAAATTAGTTGTTAATTAAATTTAGTTTAAAATCTACAATTATGTGTTACTTTAATTAATTTAGTAGTTAATTAGGTTTTTTATTTTTTAA